ATTTCCTTTTTTTCTTAAATCCATCTTCATACACCTATTCAAAACTCTGCAGTGCTAGTAGAAATCATATTTCACATGTATATCATAGTCAGTATCAGAGTACTGTGCCATACTGGGTCTATGTCTTACAACAGGCTTAGTGATAACATGCAGTTAAGTTCCACAATAGTAACGTGTGGAGGATTAATTTACCTATTTATAAAGCAAGGCATAACTGGAACATTTTCGGTACAAGCAGTTATGCTGCAGTGGTATTTCAATTTTTAAAAAGAGCTAGCACAAGAGAAAAGCTGTGCATGCACACACGCACACCATGCACGTTGCGTTTTCCAGATGCATTGCCAAGTTCCTCCCCCTGACATTGCACAGAAGAATTAAGCTCTCTTTGGAGCAGAAAGACCTAAGCAAGCTTTGTGCATCAATGGTACTGATACTAGTAATATTCCAGTTCAGCACTGTTTTGACAGAAGAAATTAATATTTCTCTTCTTACAGTCAGGCCTCTGTTTGCATCTCAGTGCACAAGGGTTATAAGCCTAATGTAAAACCTGCTGAAGTGAGTAGAAGTCATTCCTTCCAGTGCAATGTGTTTCAGATCAGTCCAAATATTTATTAACAATACTTACAGTGTTAGGCATCACCTTTTACTTCCAGGATTAAAACAAACCTGAAATTACCGATGAACTCCTTTGCTGGCTTGTATTCAGCCGGCTGTCCATCAACATCCCCAGGTCCTATTCCACAGGGCAGCTTTCCAGCCACTCCTCCCCAAGCCCAAGCCCAGGCTGCCTGGGGTTGTTGTGACTCAAGTGCAGGACCTGGCACTTGGCCTTGTTGAACCTCATACAATTGGCCTCAGTCCATGGATCCAGCCTGTCCAGATCCCCCTATAGTGCCTCCCTACCCTCCAGCAGATCAACAGTCCAGCTTCATGTTGTCCATGATCTTGCTGGGGGTGCACTCAATCCCCTCATGCAGATGATTGACAAACATCTTAAACGGAATTGGCCCCAATCCTGAGCCCTGGGGAACACCACTTGTGACTGGCCACCAACTGGATTTAACTTCATTCGTTGCCACTCTTTTGGGCCAGCCATCCAGCCAGTGTTTGACCTAGTGAAGTGTGTGTCAGTCCAGTCCATGAGCATCCAGTTTTACCAGAAGAATGCTATGTGAACTGGTGTCAAAGGCTTTACTGAAGTCCAGGTAAACAATGTCCACAGCCTTTCCCTCCTCCACTAAGTGGGTCACCTCATCATAATAGATTCAGCTTATCAAGCAGGACATGCTTTTCATAAATGCATACTGGCTAGGCCCAGTCACCTGGTTGTCCTATACATGCTGTGTGATGTCACCTAAGACAACATGCTCTATGACCTGCCCCAGCACCAAGGTGAGACTGACAGGCCTGTGGTTTCCCAGATCCTCATTCTGTCCCTTCCTCTAGACAGGCATCATAGTTACTCACCTCCAGTCCACGGGGACCTCCCTAGTCAGCCAGGACTGGTGGTAAATGAAGCGGCTTGATGAGCATTTCTGCCAGTTCCCTCAGTACTCTTGGGTGGATCCCATCAGGCCCCAGAGGCTTGTGTGTTTAAGTGGATGAGCAGGTTACTGAACATTTTCATTTGGATTATGAGGGCTTCATTCTCCTCTTAATCTATGTTTTCCAGCTCAGCGGCCTGGGTACCTAGAGAACAACTGGTCTTATTATTAAAGACTGAGGTAAAAAAGGTGTTAAGTACCTCAGTCTTTCCCTCATGCTTTGTCACTATGTTTCCCCCTGCATTCAGTGAAGGATGGAGATGCCCCTTTATCCCTCTTTTCATTGTTAATATAGTTATAGCAACATTTTTATTGCCTTTTACAGAAGCAGTAGAACTAATTTTTCATTAGGGTTTGGCCCTTTTCATTTTCTCCCTGCATAAACTCACGACATCCTTGTAGCCCTCCAGAGTCGCCTGCCCCTTCTTCCAAAGGTTATAAACACTCCTTTTTTTCCTGAGTCCCAGCCAAAGCTGTCTGTTCAGCCAGGCCAGCCTTCTTTCCCACCAGCTCATCTTTCAGCACATGGGAACAGTCTGATCCTGTGCCTTTAATATTTCTTTCCTGAAGAATGTCCAGCCTTCTGGGACTCCTTTGCCCCTCAGGACAGCCTCCCAAGGGACTCTGTCAACCAGATTCTTAAACAGGCCAAAGTCTGCCTTCCAGAATTCTAAGATGGTAGCTCTGCTGCCTCCTCTTCTTACTCTGAGAATTCAGAACTCTATCAATTTGTGATCACTGTGCCCAAGACAGCCTCCACATCACCCACAAGTCCTTCTCTCTTGACAAAAAGCAGATCCAGAAGGGCACCTGCTCTAGCTATCTCCCTCATCAGCTCCCTCAGAAAGTATCTTCCACACACTCCAGAAATGTCCTGGACTGTTTCTTCTCCTGTATTCTGTTGTATTTCCAGCAGACATCTAGTAAGTTGAGGCCCTGCATGATAACAGGTGTTAGTGACTGTGTGATTTCTCCAAGCTGCTTATAGAATATTTCATCTGCCTCTTTGTCCTGATTAAGCAGTCTACAACAAGCTCCTACAATGATTTCCTCCTGACTCTTACCCATAGGCACTTGACCTTATCATCACCATCATAAATCTCTGGACGATCAAAACACTCTCTAACATACAGAACTACCCCATTACCTCTCCTTTCTTGCCTATCCCTTCTGAAGAGCTTGTAGCCACCCAATGCAGCACTCTAGTTGTGCAGGTCATCCAAAATGACATCCCTAACATGTGGCAACAGACAAGGCTTTCACTTTTGATATTAGAACTGCTCTTTACTAATATGAAGTTGCCTTTGAGAGTGCAATTGCTTCTTGCCTACATTGGAAAAGCTACTCAAACAATTTCATGTCATTTTTGTCTCCTCCTCACTGGCCGTTCCCTTGGCAGTACATCACATTGATTTCCGTGAAGCAATCCCACATTCGGGACAGCATTGACCAGGGTGAGCGGAGCACAGGTAAAATTGCCGCAGTGCTGGGTTTAGTTCCAAGCCCAACATTAAGCTCTGCTGACAGACTTGCAGTGAGCTCACTGGCTGTGGGAGCTTGGGGGATGCATCTTGTCAACACCACTGACCTACCTCTTAGTTTATTACCATCTGCTTTTTGTGAGTTTCCAGCCTACCTCCTGCCCCTCCTCCTCAGCCTTTATGATAATGTTACCTTCAATACCCTTTCTGTCTTTCTTTCCCAGTTAATCCTGGACCTTTTTCTCACCATCCTTCACACCTCTACAAAACATTTGTTTAAGCCAACAGGGCACTACCTTGCTTTATCATTCCCGCCTCTCCCCGTCTGGAACTCAGAACTGGCACTCTTTAATTGAAATGCCAAAAAGAGCTCTAGCTTAAAATAAATGGTCACAGGATCTTGTTTATCTTGCCTCAACCACCCTGCCCGAGCGTGCTATGACAGTGTGGAGCATGGCTTCTCTGGGACACAAAGCATACAGCAGGCTAAAGGAGCAAGCACATGCCTTGGTGGTGTTAAATCATAAACAAAACAGCAGCAGCAAGCACCTCCTCTGAGCATAAAAAGCAGAAGCCTCCCTGTAACTCATTTAAGCCCTCTCTTCAGAAGCAAACACTCTCCATTAGAGTCTTGAAACCTGCTTTGGAGAGTACAGCCCTTCAAGCTGACCTCAGAAGTGAGTCTGGCAGTCTAATCCTCTCTGGCAGAAATCTCCAGAACAGGCACACAGTATGAAGAGCATTGTCTGTATGTGCTAAGACTAATTTCCCCCCAGCATTCACTGGGGTTTGGTACCACTGGCACTTGTGTGTTCAGTGGTGAGAAGACAGCGATACCGCCAGTGAGTGAAGTGTTTGTAAAAAGAGTCTGAAAAAGCCAAAGGGGAAAATGAGCATCCTATTCCTTTGCTGGCACCAGCCATTTTTATCTTGCCTGTTTTGTTGGCCCTGAAACACCTTGCTGGTATGATACTGGTGCCAGCGTCGATAAGAAGAGGGAGCAGGACGGATGCAGGAAAATGTCCACAAGCCTGGAATTAGGACCATCAAACTGGTAAGCGCAAAGATAAAAAGCAGCGATTGAAAAAGAGTGATCCACAAGAAACTTGCTGGCAATTTGACTCTTCACTAAGGTCCCATTTGGCAACCTTCCCTTCATATCAGAACCACCTAGCCAATAAATCAAGGATGAAAAACATAGGGAAGACTTTTACCACTACTATCAAGTTTCTTCATACATGTGTTTCATGAGTACCTATTTACAGGCACAGATATTTACAGACACAGTCAGGTGGCTGTCTGTTAGTCTGCAGTGAGCAGGGTAGGTAGGCGTTGCATACTCAAACTTTACATGACTGATACGAAAACTAGTCTGGGACTCGTTTTGGAAACACACAGATTTCTGAGTTTCCAGTTTTCTTCATTTGCACATTTAGAAAAAAGAGTTGGCAAACAATAACACGAGACGTATTAACCTGCGGAATGGTTCAGTTGTTGAAATGTTCGCCCATTTTTCAAACATATAATCTTGGATTCAGGTTCCAACTGTCCTGGTAAATTATGAAATGATGGCTTTCATGTATTGCAGTGAGAGATGCATTTATTTTATACACAGGTTTATAATTAACTTTAAAAAGATAGCTAGCACTGTTATTATTTTCACAGGGAAAGTACATTTCCCCCCCTCTTGATGTTCATATCCAACAAAACTTTTTTTATCCCCTTAAAAGTATATAACTATCCCCTTTTGTGTATATAACTAGATGCATGCTCGATCTGAAGGAGTCGATTTTCTCTCCAGGCTCAAGGTGATTTACGCAGCTGAGCACTAACTACAGGTACTGATGATGTAGGGGTGAGCTGTGTGTGTGGCATTCATTGGGGAAGACTAGACATCCCTACCCGATGCCCCCCTTTCCCTCCTTGCCCACTGATGATTTAATTGTCAGTTTTCCTGAGGGTATGAAGTAGGGGATTAGCTGTGCTTCACAAACTCTGGCAGCTCCATGCCTGTGTGCAGGGTAAGTGCTCCAGCCTTCTCCAGGACAAAGGCCGGGTGAGCAGCATCAGTGAATTTGTGCCTGATAGCAAACAGCACCAGTCCTCTCTCTGCATTGAAGAACAACAGTCTGCCACCACTGTAATCCAACAGGATGCCAATCCTGGCCAGCTGTCCTGTCACATGGACATCGCTCATTGCACCAGTGTGAAGAAATCTGTAAAGAAAGCTGCAGGAAATGGAAACCAGAATACAGTGAGTCTCCTCATGATGATTTACGAGAAATAACCTATGACTTAATTCCCACATATTAACAGGTGGCTGCATGTAGCAGCACATCATGTGGTAATAGCATTTTGCTCAGTACGTAAGCAAAGAGGATGTGGCAGTGCTCCAAAGCCCTGCATGGCACGCTGATGAGCCCTTCCACTGGGCATCTTTGGACTCTCAGGATAAAATCAGACTTGATATAATCATATTAGTCTGGTTTTTTTCTTATTACATATCTATGTGGGTATATAAACCCGAACTGTGCTTTGGCAAAACCCTCTCCATATCCGATGTTTCATCTACCTATTTATGGTCATCCACCTATATGATTTCCCACATGTGAGGAATCACGCTTGTTTAGATCAAGAGCACCTTTACACCATTAACAGGGTAATGCCTTACAAATCTCCAAGCAGCCCAGCACCAGCCTGCTGAAAACAACCTCAGTACCCTGCAGTCTTGCCATAGTTGCAGGTGGGTGCTTATTGCTGTGAAGGACAAGGCAGGAGAAGACATTCCCTATGGATACTTGACATCTGCAGATGGAAATAGATTCTAAAAAGACTGCATTTATGGAAATAAATACATATGCTTGAATTTTTTGAAGTGGTTCAGGGTATAAGCCCAGAAAGCCAAAGCAGTGGCAAGTTAGTTTTTAAGTTTTATGCACTCTCTGTGTGAAGGGTAGTAAACAAATCTGTTTGAGATTTTTTATTATTTCTTATTTTTAGGGTGCTTTATATTTTTTTTAATTAAGAAGAGGTCTAAAGCTTTTCTGTAGTAGTCCTTTTCTTATTACTCAAATTTGTGGAAAGAAAGTAGGTGTATCCTTTCTGCTCTCATGCTCCTTAAAGCTGGCCAGCTTTATTTATGTGAAGAACAACTAACTTCCCAAGCAACCAGACTGACTCAACTTTACCTGGTTTGTGTAGGACAGCATCGCATGCACCAGGAGGTATCACTCAGCCCCAGGACACGGCTCTGTGTTATTCCCTCATAGCAAATCCCAATCCTGTAGTTTCTGCAGGCAGAGACAATGATTTCCCAGTAATGATGTCCCCGAGCAGGCAGCAGTTCACCCAGGACTGAAGGAAACCTGTTCATGGAAGAGATGTACAATAAAGTGCGTGCACAATATTACATACGGTACACTCAAAGACCAACCATACTGTGATATTTCTTACAGTCATGCCATGAAGTAGTGTCTAAAATTACTAGGGGATTGCACTCCATTCTTCTAACTGTAGGACTTTATCAAAGATTTGAATGTTGTTACTGAGAGTAATTTCATCTTTGATTGAGATGGACTCATCTTAAGGAGAGAAACCATAAAACTTTACCCTAAATTATCTGAATTTAGCAAAAGGTGGAAAAGGTGACTTTGGAGACAAAATATGGACTTCAAATTTAGGACAAGAGGCAATGGGTGCAAGTTGGAGCATAGGAAGTTCAGCAAAAACATGAGGAAAGACTTTTTCCCTGTGAGAGTGACAGAGCACTGGCACAGGCTGCCCAGGGAGCTTGTGGAGTCTCTTTCTCTGGAGACATTCAAACCCCGTCTGGATGCGTTCCTGCGCAATCTACTGTAGGTGATCCTGCTCTGGCAGGGGGGCTGGACTAGGCGATCTTTTGAGGTCTCTTCCAACCCCTAACATTCTGTGATTCTGTATGAAATTTAAGTTTGTTCAGATGAGAAAGTATGGCTGCCTTAAGTAGATACTGTGATAAACATCTTTTGTGTGTTCAGCTCTGACAGTAAATAAAAGTATTTAAACAAGTAATATCTCATTTCCTTTGAAGATATGGCTTTTAAGAAGCCATATCAGTTTGGCACAACTTATAGAAGTGGGCCTGTGCTTGTGTTGGGATTTATATTAGTATGAAAAAAAAAAAATAAATCATGTTTGCAATGGATGGACCTAGCCTGGTACAACCATTCTAAACACATCCCAGGAACATTACCTAGTTCTCCAAGGCCACAGATGCTTTGGAGAACATTACCAAGAGTGCCCTCAGTAAAGGAGCAAAGTATGAAATATGGATTACTTCTAGCCACAATATATTAAAAAATAAGCCTACAAATCTGGCCTTCTTGCGGTAGAAACAAATTGCTCTGAGACTGAAGTGCTCTGAAGAATTAAGCAGTGACCATAGACTGAGGCAAACCTAGTGGTCCCAGCAGGTACCACTGCCTTTGGCTCTGGTGCTTCCTCAGTGCACCACTGAGCTCTTCCCACAACTTACATCAATGATGTTACTGGCTTTACTGAGATACTGCAATGCTTGAAAGGAGGGTCAATCACACAAAGTACAGGGGCTGCATGGCTGAGAGGATTCTGTTCTACAAATTTAGCTAGTGCCATGTGAAAGTTACACAGAGGCGGAAGTAAGAGTGAGGGACTCATCCTGAACTCCGCAGGGTGGTCATGTTTGTCATGCTGCTACTCACCCAGTGAATTTGTTTTTCTTGGGAAGGCAGATCACAGTTGCATTGGAGGAGATTTGCAAAGCAGGATGGGCTGTGTCACTAAGCAGGCGAAATCGAGTTCCTAGTACAATTCATGACAAAGAAACACCAGTTCTGAGAGGCTGGCAATGTTAACGTGAAGTGAATCAAAATGTTAAGCAACAATTACTACCACCTTAGATGGACAGAGCTGTGTCTGCTGGCAGGTATGAGTGACAGAAAATTGAATGCAAATGCAAGGGATCTTCCAAGCTATGTCCAATGGGGTGGCAGTCTAATATCCAAAAATGTAGCTAGGTGATAAAGAAGTCCTCAGTCTTTGAGAAGGTTGAACAGTTTTCAATCAATTGCTTTTTTAAAATAGCAAATTTGAATTTTGAGGCTGGTTTGGAAGAACTGTACATAACTAAACTTTTTTTATCAGGAAACCTTTAAGTTTAAATCCATTATTTCTATTACATTTTAAAATTGCTCTGCATGCTTCCTCATCTCTGAAACCCAAAATCCAGAAGTTTTAATTGTGAGAAGCTTTTTTTAAGGTTATTGCATCTTTTATCAGAATGTACTCTGCCAAACTCAAACTGAGATCTTTGAAGAATATTTAGTTATTACAAATCTCAGACAGAATTTAATACTTTTGCTTCTGAAGTCACATCAGATTTACACTGATATAAATGTACAAACTTCAAGTGTAGTCCCTGATTGTACTAATATTAAGCAGATAAAATACAGTACCTTTTATATCAAGAACTTACTCATTCCTATATGAGAAAGTTCATGTACGATTTCCACAGGAAAATGCTATCTTTGGCTGCTTTGCACCCCCATCCCATTGTTCCAACATCAAAAAAGGGTGATCTACCTTTAGTTGAGATGAGAGCTGCTTCACTTTGTTCACTTGTCCCAAATGGGTTGACAGCCCTCAAGTAGAAGAAATAGTTCACATTGGGCTCCAGGGATACTTTCAGTTCAGGTCTCTTTATACCAGCAAAAGATCTGCAAATTTTGAAGATTTTCATACATGAAAATGTATGCAGATATCCAAACTAGGAAAGACTAATTTATGCAAACAGCTAAGCCACCTAACAGTATTGTTGATTACTGAAACAACAGGCACTATACAGAAACTCCAAATTAGAAAGGCAAACACCGTTTTCACAAAAAAAAAAAAAAGGGTTGTGTAGGAGTTTCAGCATTTTACCTGAAGGATCCTCCTCACTTCGTCTGATAAATTTTTGCCTTTGTTTCTGTACCACCTTCTCACTCAGTGCAGTGTAATGCTCATTTCTGTTCATTTTGCAACAATAAGTTATCACATAAAATGCAAGCAGCACAGAATCAGAGTCTCATGTGCTTCCTAAGAAAAGTCTTGTTTGTACTGCCTGGGCACGTGCTCCAGATCCAAAAGAACGGATACCCTTATGTGAGACCACACAGAAACCACTCACTTCTTGTGAACTCCTTGCTCACAAATCGTTCATCAACAACGTGTTGTCTCTCTCTCCCTGAATGTGCCGTGCAGTGTAAGAGGCTGCTTTTGTGTGAGGCAGTACAGGGGAACTTTTGCACAGCAGCCTGTTTTGACTAAGTCTCCTCTTTGTGGTGTCTCAGAAGCTCCCGCCCTCACATCCTCAAACTGACGTCCCCGACTCACTGCCAAAAAGTGAGAGTCAGCACCCACTACTGTCAGGTGCTTTGAAGTCCCAGTGAAAGTACCTTGCATGGCTATAAAGACTCCAATTTTATTTTCTATATTCTCAAGACCAGCTTAACAAATTCTCATACACTGGTTCCTAATTCTCCTTCTTATTGCCCAGTATTATACACCTACTGCATTGTATGCGTGCAGTTTACAACCATTCATCTGAATAAAATAGATAATTTCCTCCATGAAATGCTTATAGGAATCTTCAAGCAAGTGCTTAAACTCACAAACAAGAGATGTGCTTTTTGAGAGCAGGCAAGGCACCTTCCTTTTCACCTCAGGTTTTAGAGTGGACAGTTTCCCTCCTGCAGGTAATCTCTCTTATGTGAAACTAGATTAAACAAATTACCTTTCACAGCACTAATTACCGTGGCCCCAGAGGAGGTAAGGCAGTCAAGCAAGCAGTTAGATCAGATCCTTGCTATTTATTTGTAGTGACTGTTTTTCCATATGTGTCCCACCAGAGAGCAGTATAATCTGAAGAATAATCAGTGCTCATGCATCAGGATTTTTCACATGCCTGCCTCGGCTGCATTTGTCACGTAAAGGTGAAATTCCACAGTCCTACGCACACTGAATTCCTGCTAACACGACACAGAGCTCCATGTCTAAGAGAATGTCACCCTGAGGGAAGACTAGTGCATCATCCTTAGTAGTCTGTAGCAGGTATTTTGTGCTGACAGCTGTCATTAAAGGTGATTGAAAGCTCTGAGAAAAGCCACTGAGTTCTTCTGTAATGTGTTTCTTTGTTGTGGGGTTTTTTTGGTTTTTTTTTTCAGTTTGAAAGAATTTCAGAACATTTGGGTCTCTTGTGTGATCAGTGCAGGGCTATGCCACCTTTGGGGAATGTGTCACCTTAATGCTGAAACTGATGCAGTAAACAGAAGTGGGTTGCCCAGACATATAACCAATTGCACTATTTGCTTCATTCCCATGACTAACCAAAGCTCTGACCAGGAGAGCACTTCAGCAAGGCACTGGGAATTCGGCAGGCTGCGCAGTTCTTACTGAAGGGTTCAGGGAAGAGATGCAACCTGCTGACTTGTCTGACAAGAACCTGAGATTTTCAGACTTGAAGGGGGAAAAAGCTAGTCTGAGTACAGGGACCAATAGAAAAAGGAAAGATGAGTTGAAAAATACAAGATGGGAACTGAGTAAGGAGGTAAATATAAAACCAGTGACAGTAAGGAAAACTAGGATGGAAGCAGAGACAGGGAAAAAGAAGTGGGCATCTAAGATTTGAAGAAATTTGTCCATGTTTCCTAGACAAGTGTCATCCACTTTGTTTCTTGGAAGCACTAATCTGACACCTTTGATGTGAATCTGAAGCACAGACCACCAGGAAGAAGTTTTGGCAGTTACAAGTGAGATGAAGGCAGGATATGCTGAGCTATTTGTTGGAAGCTGTTTGTGGCAACATGTACTTCAACAGGTCTTGAACACACTGACAGCCTCTGTATGGATCCTTCTTCTGTCTTCTAGAACATGCCACGTAAATCAGTATCCTTTCAAAGAGATTAGGAGATCTTCTTTTTCACTATGTGCTATTTAACTGATGATTAGTTAATAAAACACAAAACCATTTCTAAATCCAAGTAGACAGGTACATTCTGGTGTAATGAGTAGACCTGGTGTATTCATATTCTGGAGTCTGGATCCCACTGCTTGGATATTCACAGGAGATTTTACAGAATATAGTCAGTCATCCAAAGCTCAGATCCCAGTCCCTTTCAAGTCTGAAGTTCTTCAAATCAGAATCTAGTTGCATGTTTAAATTTGAGGATAATAGTATGCCTCTTTTCAGTTGTAACAGCAAGACAGAATTCTAAGTCCGAACATTAAGCGGATCTGGTTGGTAAAACAGTGATCAGATTTTCGAATAGCATTCTCTGCTTTGTAATCTATTTTAGTCAGCTTTAAGCTGACTAAGAATAAGAGCTCATCAAATTTAGCTACGATTAAGGCTTAAAAAACAGTCCCGCTGCTGGATCTAATGAAACAGAATATGCCAACAAGAAGGAATTTCATTTGCAACACTCTGGGCCAGGTTCAAGCTCACAAGAGGCTCAGTGCAAAGAAGAAATAGGTATTGCTATCACCTCTCCTTCTGTTTGGAGGATAAGGTGAAGGGGTAAAGTAAATACTGAGGACTCTCTAGCAATCACTGTGGTTTGTCATGTTTCAGTTGACCCTGCTATCAGTGATAAAAAGGAAAGGATGAGAAGAAGGTATGACTAGTGCTTAGCCCACAGCATACAAGTGACGCGTAGGAGAAGGGAAGAGAAAATGCCTCCTTACTGTGTTGGGAGAAGCCTCCTTCATTTCTGAGTTCTTGTAACAAGCATGGCATCTAGATCTTCCTCAACTTCACTTTAAGTATTGAACTGTGTCATTTTGGTCATGAAAGAAAGAGAATTCCACCTACAACATGTAGAGTTCTAGCTATTTTCTACTTTGAATACACCTGCCCACTTCATAGATGATTGAAAATGTTCTAATGTTATTATCAAAGCATGAGGCATCCTGGTCCTTATCCTAAATGCTATTATATTTGCAGTGTCCTCCCAATGTCTTGGTATCATGTTATAAAATTAAATGTATAGAAATTCAAGAAACACTTAAAAATGAATATTTTGTCTATCTTTACCTAATCCCTCTCTTTGTAAGGGGAATCTTTAAGTCTCAGAACTCAGCCTCCAAACTTCAAGTACATGCTATTTCAAAGCCGACCAGAAAGGAGTTACAGGTTTCTTCACCATTAAAATGCCAAGGAATATTATGGTAGCAATTGTGTGTTAAATTTTTGCTATCCTTGGTTTTAGGGCTATCTGATGCTGTGTTTTGATGCATGTTTCTCTCATCAGCACCCTTGTCTATTTCAAGGAAACACCGTCTAGAGGATATTTTTTAATATTGCATGAACTCAGTAAATTACACGCCTTGCAGTGATTCACAACGCCCTCTGTGCCATAATTGTCATTTCCACCTCCAAGATCCCACTGAAACAGCACCTCCAGACCTGTGCTGGTACCACTGATGTGGAAAATATGCAAGTTTCTCAAGATACATGTAGAAGCGCACAGAACGGATGCACCATGAGCAGAAAAAACTCTTGATCCCAAAAATAAAGAACAACTGGCTCTGAGTTCGCTCTCAGCTGTGCCACAAGCTTCCTTTCATCTCCTGTGTCCCAGAACTGGCTGGTTTTGCGGTTAGATCACCAGAGCACAAACTACAGCGGTCCTTGTTGCTATCTGAGATGGCAAGCCCAGCACATCCAGAGGAGAGAAAGATTCCCTATTTTCCACACCTTGCTTCCTAAGCTGGCAAGTTGGTCGTGTGGGAAGTGCAACAGGAGGGAGGCTTGCCGTCCTTTTTCCAGCATCAGACCTACTCTATAGGTAAACAGAAAATTTTAGTTGCTAGCAGTGCTGATCTCTCATTGGCATAAAGAATGACACTCAGTCCCTTCCACTATTATGAACTCACCATGTACCGTACTAATTTTTGCCTCCCTGAGTCTTACAGATTTCTCATGATTTGATACATGGTTTCCATCTGAACAGCCCACACATCTAATCCCTGGACTACATTTCTCACAGTTTTCCATTCTCCACCCACAGCTCCATTGACTTCTGAACACAAAGAATCTGAACATCGAGAAAATAGCAGAGCTCTGGAAACTGAAAGAAACATTTCAAAGCCTCATAAAGATTATGGAAGAAGAATAAACCTGGGAAGGATCTTTAAAACCACAGCAGAAGGCCAAGGACTGATTGTTGCAGAAGACTTAAATAGTTCTGGGCCCCTCATTTCAAGAGAGACAGGGAACTGCTTGAGAGAGTCCAGCACAGAGCCACAGAGATGATGAAGGGAGTGGAACATCTCCCTGATGAGGAAAGGCTGAAGGAGCTGGGTCTCTTCAGCTTGGAGAAGAGGAGACTGAGGGGTGACCTCATTAATGTTTATACATATGTCAAGAGGGAGTGTCAGAAGGATGGTGCCAGGCTCTTTTCAGCAGTGTCTGATGACAGGGCAAGGGGCAATGGATTCAAGTTGGAACATAGGAGGTTCCACAAAAACATTAGGAAAAACTGTGAGGGTGACAGAGCCCTGGCACAGGCTGCCCAGGGAGGTTGTGGAGTCTCCTTCTCTGAAGACATTCAAAACCCGCCTGGACACGTTCCTGTGTGACCTACTGTAGGTGATCCTGCTCTGGCAGGTGGGGGCCGGACTAGATGATATTTTGAGGTCCCTTCCAACCCCTAACATTCTGTGATTCTGTGAATTTTATATGAAACTACATGCTTCAGGTGGCAAATTGGCAAGGGCAGACAACCCAGAGAGGAAAATATAGATCTTTTGGGGTTTGGTTTTGTTATCATGGTTAGAAGGAAAACTTTAATGAGGATTTATTTCCAGATGTGCTTCAAATTCTCTCCCTGGGGAACAGGGACTGCTCCAGGACTGCTCCAAGTACCTCCTCAGAGATATTCAAAAACTGCCTAGGCAACTGGCTCTAGGTGGCCCTACTTGAGCAGGACTGTTGGACCAGAAGACCTCCAAAGGTCCCTTCCAACCTCAACCATCCTGTGATTTACGACATGCTGAAGGCTTCAGAGGGCTGGGCCAGATGAGGGGCTCCACACTTGTCTCCGGCTGTTAGATGGGGGCATTCGTCCCTGTCTGCACCTTTGTGCTGTCCCTTGCCTTGGGTGTGCTCCCAGAACAACATCTATGAAAGTAGCTTTGTGGGATGGGACCATGCCCATTTCTCCAGGACTTCCATTGGATGTCTTTCCCTGACCTTTGCTTTCATACTGTTGTCCCAGCAGCAGCTGCGAGAACCTTGCAGGGTTGCTGAGGAGCACAAACAGGAGAGAACTCCCACCCGGGAACTGGGAGATCACTCAGCCTCAGGACTGCTGCAAGCATGGAAGGCATAGGCCGTCTGTGAAAGGGCTCCACATTTGGCTGGTCCCCAAGATGAGTGTTGCTCAGGAAAACTGGGAAGGACAAACTCCAAGCTTTCAAGGAGAGCAAATCAGAAGGGACTATAGCATTTCCATGGCCAAATGCTAGGTCTGCAAACAGACACAGTTTTGTTCCACTTGATACGGGTAGCCGACACAGGAACTCTAATCTCCCTACAGGTACTTCCAGAAGGCAGCTTCCCACTAGATCAGCTACATAAGGAATTGATTTCTAGTCCTGATTTGTACCTTGGGGACACTGGATGTGAGTATTTCAGGCAGTTTGCTCCATCTACTAGCAGGCTCTTTTTTCCTTGGCTTTACATAAAAAAATTAAATAGAAATCTTGAAAGAATAATTCTCCATCACTGAAATATTTTGTGCCATTACAGAAGCTTTTCAGTTTAATCTCATAGGGTTGTTTTAAGAAAAAGAAAGAGGGGTATTGCTTTCAGGGAAAATAAGCAATAAAAGATGGTCTTTGACACTGTAAAAACAGGTCAGCGTCCTTCTACAAAGAGAGAAATTTAAACTACAGCAATTCTGAGAAAATTCATGGGTTTGTCCTGCGGGAATTTTTCACACTTGTCACAGTAAAAGGCCAGCTTCTGCCCACAGGGAGCCCAAAAAGTCAAATGTGACTCAGTATAATTATAAACATGTTAGATTTTGCACAAGGTTACTTGAGAAAGGGAAAGGGTCAGTTCTGGCAGCTTTTTGCCACAGTTATCACCACAAGCAAACTGTTTGGTGTTATCAACACCTCATTCACGGATTACAGAAAACAGAATTCTTTCAATTTTGAGAAAAAAGAGGCAATTCCAGTTAACAGCAAAGAAACTTGAGGGCAAACATACAGCACAAGTTTTGGGAATGGCGACATTATCCCTGACCAAGAGTAACTTTTGTTCGTTGACGGGGATCTGATGGCCTCATGAAATATGTATGAAAATGAGGAGGTCATGGCCGCCCTCTGAGAGGCAATAGAGCTGGGCAAGACTTCTTGTACTAATGCAGCACGCTGCTCCTGCATGAAAAAAGGTCTTCCTGCCAAAGGTTTGTATTTCAACTTTTAGCCTATTATTGTGAGGAGCAAGGCATGCACAATACCACTGTTGTACCTGTCTACTAGAAATCTGTGAATGCTTTAGTCTGTGTAACTAATTTTGCCTGCAGGGTACGAAGCTCCTCCCTTTCTGCCACATCTCCATGAAGATGTGAACTGGCTCGCTGGGTGAAGACCCTATCAGTCTTCCCAGAAGGTGAAGAGGAAAAACTCAACTGGGCTGAGGCTTTTCTTCAGGGTCCCATATAGCAGGCTACCCCCCATCTTCCAAAGCTTCTCAGACCCTTGTAACTGTATTTTGTTGGAATATTGTTGTTACTGTTTTTAAACAAGAAAACAAACAAACAAAGAAACAACCCCCCCAAATCCACAAGCATATAGGAAGCATGATATAACTTTCTCTGCATTTCAATGCAGTGCAAGGTTCCACAGCCCCGTGGTGCCTATGTCCCTCCTTGCCCTCTCTACACAGCACAGACTCAGTGCAAGGGAAGCCAGAGAGGGTCTGGCATAAGCAGACACCACCCCCTATTTCAAAACTGCTCTTTGGGTTGCTGTTTGACCCCTGTGGCATGCCTGAATAGCTGGGCAGTGCTGAGCTCAGCTGAGGTTTGGAAGGCATCTGCCTGCACATCCAGACAGTGCAGATGTGTCACCAGTATTACTGGAACACCCGGATCACCCTTGCTACGCCCTAGGCCAGCTCCATCTTGTTCACCACAAAGCGGAGAGCGAGCTGGGAGAAGCTTCTCCATCCTGCTCCTTCCCATGCAGCTCAGCTGCCCTCCGCTGACCTGCTCAGGGCTGGGACTGCTGCAGGACAGTGACCCTTCCTCAGCCAGCACTGCCCTGCAACTTCTGGTTGATTGCAGAGAGGCCTCCAGGGTTTCAGCCCCAAATGGAAAGGGTTGCCCGGTTAAGCAGAATAAAAAGGAAGTATTTTTACGTCTCAGCCTAATCTCATAGATTAGCGTCCATCCTACAAGTTACTCAGCACGCAGGAGCAGATATCTTCCTTGCGTGGTTGAAGGCAGAATAATCCCTTGGGTGATGACCTGCAGTCTGGGGGGGTGTTCATCAGCTGCTGCCTAATCTGACCGAGTGGCTCTTGCAACGGTGGCACTGACCTGAGACCCTCTCCTTCCGGCGAGTGCTGTCGGCAGTACTCCAGGGTGAAGGACTCGGCCGATGCTGAGGTGGCACACCAGCGGACAGTGGCTGTGTCCCAACACACTGTGCAGTCCTCAGCCTTGATGGTAGGGATGGCAGGTGCTGGGGACACAGGGACACATTAGCCATAGTGTGAGGAGGCAGCCAGGGGCTGGAGAGGGATGCTGTGAGGGAAAGGCTTATCTTCCCAAAACCCCACAGGACAGTCAGTTTTGCCTATTCAGTAGTGATCTTTTGCTTGTTTATATTTCAGTGGCAGAGGGGCTGTATTATAGGGGGGAAAAAAAACATTCTGGGAAAGTCACTGTGAATATTTGTGCATTTCTGAACATCATTGGAACGCTTGTTGTGACTCTTCTCAAGCACATTTTCCTAATTTCTGCCAACCTTCAAGGAGCAGAGAACCAAGGCAGTACTGCCTACAGCTCTCCCTGCATCAACTCAGTTCTGTCCTCAGCAGTCCCTGTGTGCACTGCATCAGAAAAAAAGTGTGCTGCTGCAGAATTGACAGGGAGATGCTGACTTTCTGCTTAATTATATCCTTAATTATATTTTTAGAGCCTCAGTTTAAGATCTACAGGTCCAACTGCAAGACAGAAAATGGAGTGTAAAATAGTGCACTGAATGCAAGTAATCAAAGGCTATTGTGTGAACATCTGACATCGTAAGCTGAAAATGGATTAGTTGTATTCACTTAGTCTTTCCCTTTCCAGGGAATAGCAATGTAAATGAACCTTAGAAGACATTGCTGAAACACTCATAACAAGTTTTAATACCAATCCTTAAGAGAAAGGTTATTAATTAAAAAAAGTTATAGAAAGATATTTTGCTCTTAAAGAGATGAAGTTCCAAAAAGGAGTTCTAAGACAAAAGTAGAAATCGAACAATTTTATGACAAAATTTTCTTAAAGAACTGTAACAGGCATTCCAGATGCATTCTGTTTATAAGAAAAATAATTCGTTATTAGTAGAGAAGGAAATAAAAGCATCCACAAGTACATATCAATTACCTGGTTTAGTTAAAATCACTCAGCAGCTCAGGTTAAGATGTACTTGAAGTTTTACTACAGAAACAGCTAATCCAGGTTTTCAGCAGAATAATGAACCTGTGGGATAGATTCTCACCTGGTAATACATCTGTATAGCTGTCTTAGCAATAATCCCTTAATTCTCTTTGGTCATATTTGAGTATTGACTCTTTTTAAGGGCATCTTTTCCTAAAGAATGAAAAATTAATGGCTAAATCCCCTAATACCTGCATTCAGCAACTGACACACATACCTACAGTTATGTATGTGCAAACTGTGTCGCAAGACATCAAGCTTTTTTCATTTTATTTAAATTTATCTCTCTAAAGAGTAGATGGAGTCAGCATACCAGAAAAAGTTGTTACTAGGTTTCTGAGATGTTAACAAATTAACTGCAGTTAGAATATATAAATTATTTCCTTGCAATATTCAAGCACTCATGAAAGGAGATTGTAGAGAGGTGGTTTTTGGTCTCCCCTCACAGGTTACAACTGATAGGACATGAGGAAATGGCCTCAAGTTACGTCAGAGGAGCTTTAGGTTAGACATTAGGAAAACCTTCCAGACTGAAAGTGTTAACAGAGACTGGAAGAGGCTGCCCAGAGGAGTGGTTGAATTGCCAATCTGGATGTGTTTAAAAGCTGTCTAGATATGGTGCTCAGGAGCATGGTTTAGAAGTGGGCCTGGTACAGTTAGTTAATGGTTGGACTTGATGGTCTTAAAGGTCTTTCCCAACTCATTCTATGATTCTATCTAACGAGAGAAAAAGACAAAATGATAAACTCTTAACTCTGTCCCTCAGATACAGGGTGAGAATCACATAGGTTTTGAACAACAGAAGAAGGTACATTCACTCCTGTGTCTTTAGGGCTGCAAAGAGCCTTCATCCAGGGATTAGCCAGAGACAGACGGGGAAGGGGCAGGGGAAAGGGTAAAAGCGTAATTGGTGCCTTCAGCATCATTGCCTCACAGAAAATACTGCTTGGAAATGGCATGTTCCCAGGGGAGGGCAGGACAAGCTGTCAGTTTGGATGGTGGGGGAGCAGGAGACAGGAGGTGCTGGGGAAATGCTGCAGCAGCACCTGCCCACAACTCACCAGGCCCTCTGCCACCTCCGAGGGTAAAGCAGAGAAACCTTGTGGGTGCTCCCAGCACCTGGAAAAAGCACAGCTTTGATACACTGTTAAGACGTATGTTCCCGTAACTGCATATATCATCAAATTATTTCCTTGTATGTGCCAACTTTAATCTGAACTACTAAAAATTAACTCTAAATTCTTGCTTTTGACTTGATCATGCTACTTAGAGTATCAAAATATTCTAGTTTTTTATCAAGAGTAGCCAGGTTCACATTGAAGAACTTTTTTCCACTACTGGTGCTCATCTTTCTGCCTTTGGTGTAAGGACTGCAGGGGTTTTTCATCTATGAGTGCTTGATAGTGTCCCTACAAGTCCATCTGGGTGTCAGAGGACTCCACAGGGAGCTTGAGGGAAGGTATTTAATGCACCGTTATTTGGTCTAGTTTATGTGTTTTCTTAAAGAAAGAGGACAAAGGAAGGCATCAAAGACTTGAGAAAACTAACTTCTTTAGCAGGCTTTAGGTTTGGGAAAAAAAAATTGCTGAGCCTGATGCCAAAAGGCAAAGACATTTCTTAAAAATAATGGCTTCAGAGAAGTGAGAACATCCTTTTAAATTGTGATTTATTGGCTGGTAATAACTCATTATTATTTGACCATTTTGCAGGAATTATGCACCATGGTGACAATTACATTGTTAAGGCCATAAAAAGTGACTTTTTACTTTGAATTCTCTGGAAAATAATCTTTGCTTAAAACATGAATAGCAAATTGAATATCAAGGAGAATTATGAACAGATTTGAAGTCTAGTGAATTTTAAGCAAAAAGCTTGAAGCTGTGGTTGCTGCCAAGTAATTTCAACAATACATTCAGAGTTGTACAGAGTTATTTCATTCCAAAATTATTAAGTACCCTTGTCCATATTTTGTCACTGCAAGAACACAATGATTGTTTTTATCCTGTAGCACTAAAAGAGTTGTCTGGCAAGAAGGCTTCAGACACAAGATGTTTCACTTTGCTCATAATTCAAGAAGCAATAGTTTTGTCAATACAAATTATTAAAGAAATTACAGCTCAGAAAAATTAATCAGTCAAGTGAAACTCATAAACAATACTCGTCTCCTCATCTTAATTTATACCACTTAAACAGCAACAGAGCCTCTCAGTCACACCTGAGATTTGTGTCCCACTGAGCTAGACACAGCATGTAACCTCAGTAAAGTAGACTTTCCATTGAAAAGTTAATAATTTAAGTCAATGCAACATAGATGTATTTGGTAGGATGACAGAGAGACAAAAAGTGCAGCTGTCACCTCTATTTTCCACAGGAGAAGCAGCAGCAGCAGCAGGGCACAGCTGGGTGGCTTTACCAGAGCTTCCCTGGAGCATTGTAGTGCACTCAGAACAGAAATTCAGAATGTGTTGTCCCAATGACCCGGTGATGAGGCCTGAGACTGGAAACATCTTCAAATCTGAATGCCTTCAAGTTTCCTCCCAGAAGCAACTATGCTACTATCTCTTCGCAAAAAGCAGAACAAGTATGAGTTGCATGCTACGTGCCGGATGGGTTAAAGGAAGCAGTTTTTTCAGTTTCAGTAAGGCTATGGCCTAGAGCAGGTCTGAGGACTTGAAGCCTGTAACAATCAAATGCCAAAATACATACACACATACATACATACCTGTTTTAAAAATGGCTTTTTCACTGGGTAAGCTACAGCCTGTGCCATTCACAGCCATGACCCACACGCTGTAGCAGTGATCTGGCTCCAGGTCCTCCAAAATGCAGTGGCTCTCCTTCACTGTCACTCTGTACTCTTCCACCAAAGCTAGGAGGAACACACACAAGCATGGGACATCACACTCAGGTATCGCACTGGTGGGACCTACAACCACACCTCTCAACTGACATATAAAAGACAGTCAGTTAAAAAAAATCCAGAAAGCGTTCCTAGCCAACATCTCCATATTTCGCTCTGACACAGTTTTGACAGGAAATTTCTGATACGACCCAGCATTGAATGCACTCAAGTCCCGTTGATGGCAGGACTTTATAGCCCTTAGCTATAAATCAGTTACTATGAAAAGGCCTTTGCAGTCGCCAGCATGCACAGACATACACATGCACACACTCACATACACACATGGATTTGTGCAGTCCAGTTGCTTAGAGTGACTTTATGATCAGTCTGAGCTTTTTAACGAATGAGCATTTCAATTCTGTTTCTCAATTTCATATATAACATTTGAAATATTTTAATCTCATTTCAAAAAAAAATCTTTGTCTGCATGTGGAAATGCTGTGGAAATACTGATTATCTTTTCCTGTAATTTTTTTTATTAGGCCACACTTCTGAAGTACATGGGCCCTAAAAACCTAATGAAGCCTGTCCTGTTGGGAGCAGCCCTTATGAGTACACATGGGGCAGCATGGACACACCTGCTCTGGAGGTCTGGCTACTTCGTAAAGGGGCACCTCAACAGCAATGTTGCCACTTCTCTGCAAACCACTTCCCTATACTTTACAGACCATGATATTTATCTTACGTTTTGGGGGACAAAGAGGAGGAGAAGAAGAGGAATTGAATTCAGGCTTCCCTCCACTGTTACCCACCCTTAGTCCTATGCATGTCTTCACACGCCCTCTTCGTTCAGCACCCGGGGACCGTCCCTGCAGCCTGGCTTCCCCTCTGCTGACCCCAGACCAGAGGAGAAAGGACTCTTGCCACCATGAAGGCAAGACCTTACGCACCTCCTGCATCTTTGCCGGCTTGTGGCTCCTCCATACAGTAGACCTGGAAGCAGTCAATGGCATCCCCGTCGTTCACAGCCCAGTAGATAGCAATGGAGGTGCTGGTTGCCGAGTTTGGTTCCTGAGGTACAACAGTTGGTGTCTGTGGGACTGAGAGAAAAGTCTCCCATTGTTATTCACACTCCTGTATTTTCAGCTGAATTACGTACAGATCTGTGAGACAACTCAGATGCTTATTTTCATTTCCACAGAACAAGTACAGCAAGTACATGAAATATGGAATACTAGTGCAGTTTTATAGTAATAGGTCCTCCTAAACTAGGAACAGAAAAAAAAGTAATTGCTTGGCATTGGAATTGGTCCATTTCCCTTGCAGTGTAGACAAAATAACATCCAGTCCTAGCACTGGCACCACCTGAACCCAGCACAAAGCATGGGTCTGTGCCCAGCTGAGCTCCTGCATGACGGTCCTGATCTACAGGGAAGTACATCAGGAAACAAACATGCACATGATGGTCCTGACCCATGGGGAAGAACACCAGGAAACAAACAGCCATGCATGGCATTCATGTTTGTTTCCAATATTCAGCAGGGAGGCTTCTAGGGCTGTGGAAATCCTGGACAGGCAGAGCTGTCACACAGCTCTAGAGATCATTCTCCTTTCCCCTGAAGATTTGTTCCCTTCAGTGACAAGGAGAGCTCTCCAGTTCTGAGCTCCACTTCGAGGCACACGTGCTGATGAAACCCTGAAAAATTCCTGGTAACTTCAGACCACCCCTCCAGAAACGCCAGAAGACCCTGCAGCCTAACACAGGTTCCTTTGGGTGACTGCCTTCCTTTCCTTGCAAGACAGGCACCAAAGGAAAGGACACCATACGAAGAGGATGCTCATGAAAGTAGAGACTGAAAGCACTTATTTGTAGCAAAGAGTGTTGGGATAGTTCACTGATGGAAGAGGGATCTTGCAGAAGAAAGCCTCCTCCAGAGACAGATGTACAGTTGCAAGAAGAAGTATGTGAACCTTTTGCAATTTCATGGTGTTCAGCATTAATTTGTCATAAAATGTGATCTAGTCATCATCTAAGTCAAGAGTATTGGCAAATGCAATGTGCCTAAAATAATAACACGAAAGTAATTCTGATCCTCCATGTCTTTGCTGACCACACTCATTCAACATTCACAATGTTAGTGAAAAAAGTGAGTGAACCTTTGGAATCAATAGCAATATGAGCTTCAACAAGGCCAAGTGCCAGGTCCTGCACTTGGGCCACAACAACTCCCTGCAATGCTACAGGCTTGGGTGACTTTCCTTGTGGCTGGAGAGCTGTCTAGCAGAAAGGGACCTGGGGGTTCTAATAGACAAGTGTCTGAATATGAGCCAGCAGTGTGCCCAGGTGGCCAAGAAAGCCAACAGCATCCTGGCCTGTATCAAAAAGAGTGTGACCAGCAGAAGTAGGGAGGTGATTGTCCCTCTGTACTTGGTACTGTTGACTGAGATGATGGCTAGGTCACATTTTACGACAAATCAACGCAGAACACCATAAAATTCCAAAAGGTTCACAAACTTTTTTTTTGCAACTGTATATGGTTGATCCCAGAAATGTGGGCAGAGGAGAGGACCTGCCACACCAGAAAGGGATTCACACACTGTGCCAAATCCATTGACACTGACAGCAGCAGGGATGTTCTTTAGGAAAAGGAAGATTCTAACACATTGGGGAGCAGGATGTTCCCTGCAGCCTTAGGCCACCTCTACCCAGAGGGGAACTCGTACTGCAGGTGCACAGCAATGAGCTCCTGCCTAACAAGTTCATTTTCTTCACAGACCCAGTAGACAGAGAATCCTTGGTGTACAGGTGAACCCAAGCTCTGCCAAAGCACCTGAACCCCAGGGGACAACTAGAAGCATCCCTCACAAAGGGTGCTTTGAAGACCTCTAAGGCTCCCTGAATTTTATATAAACTTAGTATCTTGATCAGCATAGTTCCATCCCTGACGAGATACTGTTCCCTTCTATGATTATGGCTTAAAAGAGAGGGAGAGGAAAGAAAGAAAGAAGAAAAAAGCCCTGAAAGATGTTCATTGTTAAAGTGATTGCAGGGAATGAAAATACATGGCTCTATTTCTTCACTCAGTAAATTTCCATATTGCATGAATTCTCTTAGAATCTCAGCAAAAAGCTTTTGCTTTTTTTCAGTTATCTTCACAGTAATGATGATGATCCCCTGTGGCATGAACAAGGCAAATGCAGATGCTGGCTCTTCCCTTATGATTTATACAGAGAGTTACCAGTACAGTAGGGTTACATCTGCTTCTCATTGAGAAAAATTATCCTTCTCATTGCTAAAACCAATCCACATTTCATCTTTTGACTGCATCTAGAGTTGGTCAATTTAAAAACTGATTGTCTTTAGGAAAAGACTTCCTTTCAGTGGACCGCTGGGGAAACCAGCCTTTTTTTTTTTTTTTTTTTGCTGGGAAGTTGCCTAGAAACTGCTATTTATGAACACAGAAACCCCACAACTGCAAAATTTATTATTATGCCAAATCTGAACAGAAGCTAGTTTAATGAATGAAACTTCTGAGGGAAAAAAAAGTTCCCCCTTCAGACAAATAAAAATTCAGTACAGTAACACTGAGAGACATTTGATTTCTGATTTCCTCTTGCATAATATGAAATAACTTTTGAAAGGAAGTAATTTCAAAGTAAGAGCTTGAACTACTGTCTTTAGGAACAGAATACTTATGTATTATCAAAGTGCCAGTCCCTTTTAAAGTGAAAATTTAAGTCAAAGAAACTGTATTTGCACCACAAGTTGGGCTAAATCATGTTTTTCCACAGGAAAGTGTGAGATTTTCTCATCACGTCAGTTTTCATTGAAGTGCTGTCACGTAAGGCAGGTTTTCCTTCATGCTACCTAATCTCCACAACCCCTGGAGAAAAAAAAATAACAATCTCAAATTTTTAATGGATATCTACTCCTTTGCAATGTAATGCTAAATAACATTTCCTTGGCTTTATGAACCTGAAGAAGGAGATCAGTTACATTGCTCTGTGGTTCTAATGGAAGACTGTCACGATAAGCAAAAGTCTTTGCCTTCTGGCATTAAAGGGCAGGACCCATGGCAGGCTCTGGAAATACAAATTTTTGAATTTTTAAATAATTCCCACTCTTCCTGTGGCAAAGCTTGCATTACAATAAGTTCAATGGCATACTGCACTGGGTTTTTATGCTCATGCATTTGTTAATGAGGGTGGCTTACATGAAAGGAGGAAGAATTTGAAAGAAAAGGGCTTCTTGCTAGTGGATATGGAAATCTGGAAATGGACGGTGCTTTGAAGGAAAGATGTTTCTGGAGTAGTGAATATAAAGTTCTACGAAATTGTTTAATAAAATACTATACTTTCTGAAGGAAAAATACGTGCACTGCAGAAACAAAGTAAATTCAGTCAATTCACATGTATTTTATCAGATGGCTTCAGTTAAAAAAAAGAATCTGAGGGGTCTGACATTTGCCTCCAGTATGTCATAAATGATGTACTCAAGGCATTCAATCCCAAATAAAATTTTGTGTAGGCTTTCACTTCTATTTTCTTTCAGCACAAATTCGTTTTGACAAACTCTTCATTGACAGCTGTCCAGATCCAGAAAATGTTTATAGGTGTACGTACAGGCAGAGCAGAAAACCCACACAGGCAGTTTTTTTAGAGGACATGAAATAACAGAGAGGTGAACAAACCCATTTATCATGTGTAATTTTCACTGTTGCCCTCTGAAGCACAAGCTCCTCCCACTTTCCCTTCATGTGGGCTTTTCAGGTGCCTCTGTTCATTTGGCACAAGCTGAGGGACTTCAGCCAGGTCTCTGCTCTCCTCCCCACAGCAGTGATGCTGAGGCTGTGCCCCTCGAAGGAAGAAGCTCAAGAGACCCTTGATTGCCTCTTCTGTTCCTTCCTACAATTTCTCAAGGCCTGGAAGATTTACAAGTAGAGACCTTCTGCTAGTTTGAGGTACACATAACTGAAATGATGCAAGAATCCCCTGCTTTAGTGCTTCTCTCGCTTTTGCTCGTCTTCATGTCCTACTATAAGCCAAACACTTGTGCACAATTAGACTTCATTTTACATTCAACTCTGATTGCTAATTACATGGTTTGCAAATTTATACTTCTCACATAGATTCTGTTTTTAGCTTCCTAAAATTTCCAAAACATTGCCAATATGTTAGCTTTTTTTAAGATGATATTCCGAGATTCTTACCAGCCACATGTTTTAAGGGATGTTGATTGCTTTGTCCTGGACTGTCTGCATAGTGCTCAAACAGTGAGAAAGCACTGGGCACCTTTTCTAAAGAGAGAGTAGTATCCATTGCAGTAAGTAACCTGTTTGGAAGAAAACATACAGCTGTCCATATAAATCCCTCATGGCATCACATAGTTTTCCAAAGGCTACACACAAAGACCATGGGATGTATGCTTCTTTAAATATTTCCCATGAACTTGAGGACAACGTGCAAGGAGAAGCTGTTTCCTGGATTTTGAACATGCTGTGATTTCGGATCAGGAGCACAGTGAGAGTATACACAGTCCGCATACACTTGACCCATGAGAACGTGAGGATATAAAGTTCACAGCAAGACTCCAAAGAGCCCAGGGGTTTGGGCTTACTAACGCTGCCTTTAAAGGTTACAAACCTTAGAGCTAAACTACAGCAGCTGACTCCAGAGATGTGATGTAAAGCAGCTGCTTGTGGCAAGCAAAAAAGTATGGAAGGAAGATAGAGCCCACTTAATTAGTTCATACTTGCTGAGTTCATCATAGGAGAAAAAAACAACTTTTTTTTTTTAATTCTGAGTCAGAAACAGCTTCAAGGAAATGAAAGATTATTTATTTTCAAGGCAAATGAATTTTACCTTTTTCTCATTCTTTTTTTTTCAGACATCAAAATAGTTAATTATGATTAATCTTAACAAAGCACAACCAGTATAATACATATTTTCTTGAGAAAAACATGCGTTGTTACATAGACTTGTTTTTAATGTTTTAGCAAGTTAGGTATTATCAAAGTAAAGTAATACCCAAACCCATGCACAAAAGAGAATAAACATTAAGTTTAGTGTATAAGCAAACAACTGAAGTATACAGAAAGCCTTGGAAAACTGTTTTGTCTGACTGAACCACCCTATTCGTATGCAATAAACTACACGCAGATACATGGCCAGACTTTCACATTTTGACTTGCAACAGTCAAGTCCAAATTTATAGCCCTAATTCTTCCAATTAATAACAACTATGAAGACTGATATTTGGCATATTCTCTTCAGACCACTCTCCTGCCATTGTAATTTGACTGCAAACTGGAATCCTCGTGCCATTGTTCTAGCCCAGTCCACGTCAGTGCGCATGTCCCTGTGGTGGCTTAGGCAGCACTGACAAGGGTATGTGAGATACACTCTGTGCAACGCTCAAGCACTTAGGTGGTGGTATGGACAAAGTAGGTTTAGGGACTGGAGGAGACTGCAGCCAGCCTATCTGAATATTTGTAGTTCACCTTGGAAAATTTATTGGGGGAATATGGGCTTATAGTTGAACATTTTTCTCCTAAAGGATGGGTCTCACCAAAATGACTCCCTTGAGGAGATCACACATGACAGAGAACAGTTTGTGATTTATTTACAGGTATGTGCAGGCAGGCCAGGATATAGCTGTGATGAGGCACCAGCCCTCTGACACACATTGAATCAGGCAGTGCCAAGGAAGAGACATGGGAAAACATCACCCCACAGTCTCTTGGTAAGTTTTTGAAAGCTACTCAATATCATTTTTTCTTTTACAGTCCAATAACCCCAGCCATGTAACTGACACTTTGCATTATAACCTTTCAGAGACCAGGCAATACAGAACAGACTAATGAAAAAAGAATGTACCAGTAACATCTAAGAGAGGGAAACAGGATCAACATGTTTTTAGTATATATGCTTATAATACTAACTGCAAAGAACATCTGTCTAAAAATGTCTGTGTAGAGATGTAGAATTGAGCTGGCATTTTAAAATGTTACTTGCTTAATTGATGTATTAGAATGTGCAAAGCATTTCCAAACCAGTCAGTTACGGCAACAAGTATAAAACCTCTTTTCTTAATTTCATTATTTCCAAAGTTTATAAAAGTAACTACGAATATTAGCAGTGTGTTTTCAAATCTTGCAAATAGTAAATGAAGCATCCAGCATGCTAGACCTAGTACTCACTACAGTGCACTTAACCCATACTTGATATACCTTTTATTCAATTCTTTAGATGACTAGAGGAGGAAAAAAAAGAAATGTATTAACAGTTTTCAAAACCCTGAAAATGTTGAAAAGACACTCATCTTACAGGCTTGCTACTCTCCACAGACATAAAATGCACACAGTTTTATTGACTTGATGTTGTCTGGGATGCTGCTTATTCACACCAGCATAGAATTTGGTTTCTTAAGAATATTCCACTTCTAAGCTCTAGCTCAGCAGGCTAGTAGAGTTTAAATCTGTTTTTAAGCTCCTGAGGGGCCAGTATTCAATATCCAGGTTTAAAGACTGGAACACAGTCAAACACTTTCTCAAACCAAAGCTTTTATAGAAAGAAATCACCTGCACATTAAGAACACTTGAATCCGAATCCTGGCTGAAATCTCCTTTGTAACTTATTATGACTACGAATTGGGTGAGATTTGTACTCATGAAGTGAGTTTCTTTCATGCTCCAGAAATCTGTAGTTGACGTTTCCTGGCATGTGGACAGAAAATTTCCTGTCCTTTATCACTAACAGAAAGGGATAGGGAATTAAAAAATTTTCATACCCTGCAAAAGAATTTCAGATTACAGAGCTATCTTTTTTGCTAAGGCACTGATTCAGTACCTCACAGAGTTCAGGAAAATAGGCTGTATTTTTTGTCTGTCCCAAAATAGCCAATCTACCATGGCATTCACTTGTTTGCAGGATACCAAGACACTGTATAGCTTGGAGCAGGGGAGAAAGCCAAATACCACTATACCATTTCTATAACTACTGGTATATGGGCTGGAGGCTTGTATTTGAAAAGCTGTTTCATTTTGCATGAATGATCAGTCTTTATAGAGTAATTTGAACTTTTCCTTCCTTGCATCCCAGGATACTTTCACAGAATCATCATAAAATGGCCTTCCAGACCATGTGCTAATTCCATAATGGGAAGTTATTGGCCCCTCTTCAAGACTGCTGTTACACTTCTGTGGATGAGAAAGTGCCACAGCTCGCTCACAGAAAAGTCTTGCTGCATAAGGACAATCTCGGAGGACCCAGGCCATTAATGATTAACCTACAAGATCCTCTGAAACCAGTTAATGACTGATGACTGTATGAGCTATGTAACTCCAGTGATGGAGACTCACAAGGAATGATTTTACATCCAGAAAGGACCATTACAGACATGCACAACAAGTGCACCTTTCTAACTTAGCTCATTGTCATGGTTTATCCCTGGATGACAACTAAGGACCACACAGTCACTTGTCATGGGTTAGGGCTGGGCCAGCCACTAACATGGACAGACACTCTCTAACCCCCTCTTCCCCCCTGCCCAAATGGGAAGGAAAAGGGAATGAGGCAGAGAGACTTACAGGTTAGAAAAGAAAAAACTAGAATAGTTTTAATGAAATAATAAAAGAAATAATAGTGGAATGATAGAAGTAAAAACTATATACAACTATGGATAGTAGCCCAATATCAAACCCAACTCCCTCCCTCAATAGCAATCCCCACTGGTGCTGCAGAGCAGGAGGCACTGGGGAAGACCCAGGCTCAGTGGCGGCGGGAGCTGGATACAGGGAGCTGGATTTGGGAACTCAGGATCCGGATCAAAAGCAGGAGGTCAGATGGGGTCCTCCCTGGACATCGGCCATTGCAGGAAAGGGACAAAACTCTCGTGATCTCTCAATTTATACTAAATATGACCTATATGGGATGGAATACTCCCGTTGGTCACCTGTCCTGTCTATGACCCCCCGGAGGTGCAACCTTTTACCTCCTTGTGACCCCCTTTTACTACCCGGCACCCCCAGTGTGGCACACAAGGGCCAGCAGTGGCCTTGGTCACTGTAGGAATAAGTGTAAGCAAGAGCTTTTCTGCATCCCAGTCCCAGGCAGTGACTGCAAACATCAGGTGTTATCACTGCTGGTAGCACACACTGTCTGCAAAAACATGTTGCTGACTTCAGAAAGTGCAGCCTTTTAGAAGAGACTGAGCTGGAAAAGTAAAAATCACTAAACAGGACTGGGATTTTAGCTAAACCCAGGACATCACTCATATTTTTTCAGCAGTAAACATTTATCACAGACTCAGTAATTTGAGTATAATAACTACTGCCTGTGTCTGCTTATTTAAAAAAAAAAATTAAAACCCTACTACAGCTCTGCACTGGAAAATTTTCTATTACACTTTCATCTTTCACCTTTCTTTTTTATATAGTAAAGTACCTTTTACTGTAACATTTCTGACTCCTTAGTGGATAATTAATTCTAGATAAATTATTGAACTGTCTCTGAGCCTTCCCTTCGTAATACAAACCAGAACAACCTTAATGGCATGTCACAATTCCATCCCGTGCATAATCTTTGCAATTCTCTCTGAGCATTCATATCAACAAAGAAATGATTTAGCAGTTTCAGAGTGAAACAGCTGAGCTTGTAGAATTTATTTATCTTAAAAAAAAAAAAAAAAGGAAGGTAAGTCCTTCTCAGCCTCAGTACAGCATTAAGTGCTTTCCTAACCAGTATCATAAAAGCTATGGGATGAAAATAATTTTTACTCACATTTAGGAAAAAAAATCCATCAAGTTCTTCCATTTCTTTTACTGTTGTCTCTAAAGTTTCCTTTGCTAAATCAACAGTTTGCTGGAAGTTAACCATCTGCTCATACAAGTACTCCATTTTCATCTTCTTCACTTCCTCAAAGTTCTCTGATTTCTCATCATACTGTGCTACCACTTTCTTAAGCATCTCTTCATTCTGCTTTTCCAATAACTCTGCATTTTTCTTACAGTTTTCCTGCAAAATAAAAACAGATGTAAATTGATTTGCAGAATAAAATTACAACATTTAATGAATACACAGAATTCCGAATTACCCATACATGAGCCATCCACCAGAGTCCTTCTGGCATACTGACAATAAGAAAACTTCATTTCTGTAAGAAAGCTCATCTGGGAGATATAATGCTAGAGAAATACGTTAAAAACAATGGAATTTTTTTTTTTTTTTACTTTTAGTGTTTAAAATTAAACTTCTATATTTAAGCACTGAGACAGGAAGTCTGACTACTAAATAGCTAAAAATCCATACTTCCAACTGAAATTACTACAGTTCTCAAAGTTCAAGAACTTAGACATTAAGAACTTAAGACATTGGGCAACTTCTTTAGATGTTTCATACAGGATTCTAAATTAGGACACAGCATGAGCTTTTTATAAACATAATCAAAATTAAGGGAACTTTTTCTTTAAGTGCTTGACAGTCACGTTTTTCCACTTGGCAATAATGTGCAAAAAAAAAGTAATCTTTTTCTTCTCCTAAAGTTAATAATTTCCAGTGGGAGTAGTCAATTTAAGAACTGGAAAAATAGCCCATTTCAGTGGAAGAAATGATGCTACAAAACAAGGCAAGCATATCTTAGAAGTAATTTTGTACAGGAAAACACCCTAGTGTGATAAAACAGTGGACTTACCTCAACAGTGTTAAAGAGAGACTCAATATCACTCACAAACTCTTCAATCTTCATTGACTTTTCTTCCAGTGCTATCAGCAATTCACTTAACCGATCCTGAAATGTAAAATGTCTCACTAGCATAAGCATGTTATTTATAAAGCTTTTACACGCAACTCATTTTAAGTGAATATTCTTGTTTTACCATCAGCCATCATTGGAACAATTGCTAAATTATGTTCACGTATCACCCTGGCTACAATGACAAGGACAAAAATAGCAACTGGGAACAGCCACAAAACTGTTCCCAAACCAAACCAAGTGAGCTCAGTTTGACAAAGTGCTGAGCGTCAGTACTGTTGAACATCACAAATTCCAGTGCAGCTTTACTCAGGGTGCTCAGAGCCTCATGAGCGTCCTCAAGAGATCACAGGAACAAGTTCATAAAAAGTAAGATAACACAAGTAATTATGAGGCTAATAGATTATGCATAATCAGAATTTTAAAGACATTTCGTATAAACCAGAAATCATTAAAATCACAGGTTTAATTAGATGTGGAAACAAAAGTTGTCCAAGGGACAACAGGTGCTTCACAACTTCTTCTTAGTCCGTCTTACCTTGTGTGAAAGCAAGCTGGACATCTGCTCAGGTGTAATTTGTGATTTACAAAAATACTTAGTTTTAATTAGCTGGCATATATCTAACAGGAAAGTTAACTTCCTTTGGTAAGAGCTTCCTGTCATGGCAAACTTTTAAAGATAGATCTGTTGAAAACTAACATGACTTTCCATTAATTATAAATGTCACATTGCCTGTACAACTGCAAGGTCACTTTATAAATATTTTGGGTTGATCATCAAATTCAGAAGAAAAATTCCGTTTGTTAAGATAATCTATAAAATCTGACAGATGCCATCCATAGCTCATATAATTTACTGTGAAGTTATGGCCCTACAGTTAAAATCCAGATGACAAGCACTTTGTTGTCTAAATATTTTCTCAGTAATTATACAGAAGTAACAAGAAATATGCAAATGCTGTTTCAGAGTAACCTGAGTGCTAGAAATTATGTGAAGCCAAGCCTGTGTTGTGGCCACATTTAATATTGGCTGTGCGTCTGTGCTCCACAGCCAGGGAGTGATATCATGGAATGTTTATTTGTAGCTTAACTTGACTTATTGCAGTGCAAGTACATTCAAGGGATGGCTGGGCTCTGTGGCTTTGTTACTGACTTACTGGTGGCTAATTATCACTTCTAAGTCAAGCACGAATGGCCATATATAAAAAGCAACTCTGCTGTCATGCATCTGCACACCATGGAGATAGCTTGTAAATACAGATATTTGAAACTGCCACATTGATTCCTCCAACTTTGAATTGTTTTACATATGAGTTAACATAACAATAACATGAAAACCTGTGACAAAAGCCCTTCTCGATTAGGGAAACTACACAAAATCCATATTATCATCAATCAAACGTGTCAAGAAAGAGACTTCACCTTTCAGATACTGAGATGAGATTAAATAGTTGGTTACCAAAAAAAGGAACTCTGTATTCTTGTACATGAACAAATCTGATAGAGGAAGAGTAAGAAAGCACATGCATACTGTTTTCACTTGCAGAACTGCACTTTAATGAAGAATAGCTTCCTCAGAACTTAAAGCATTTTCAGTAGTGTTGTCAGCAAAGAACTTGGCTACTGAAATAGAGGGCATTTTTATTTATCTTTTAGAGTAGTTCATTTCAGAGATAGTGCGAAGAAGTAGGACTTGCTATACTCTTGCCTGCATTACAATTAAAATACTGTTGGAACAGATGAACATAAACTGAACATAAAATGGGGATGGCATTTCAACGAAACTGTGTAGTATATGAAGTGCAACTTGTCTATCGTCTCCAAGCAACCCACACATGGAACTGGGGCAGGGAACACTTTATGATGATACTGGCCCCCACATATGAAGGTTTCTGTACCTTGTCAAGTAAAATGAGATGCTGATACTAAAGTTTTCCTTTCATAGAAACAACATTTTTCCCATTTCCCCCCCTACATATACAAACCAGAACAAAATTACACAGGTGAAAAGGCTGAAAGATGGAATGTCTGGTAACAGCTATGTATAAACAAGGCCATTTAAACTCCTGAACACATGAAAATACCAGCTTAGCAAGCCTAGGACTCCAGAGAATACCTTAATAAGATAGTTTCCCTTCAAGACCTCTAACAGATGTTTAGGAATAGTTTTTATTTTATAGATACTGTGACCTAACCTCTGGACTGACCTCTGCAGCCTCTTCCCTGACAACACAAGACATCCAGAGAAATTAGTCTCAGCAGCTCCTTCCCTCACCCCAAATTATTCTTACCTTCATCTTAGCGGCAGCATCATCTAGTGTTGTGACATCGTGGTCTTTATGTTCTCCAAAAAGCTTGTCAATAGCAGATATTGGGCATCTGCAGTGGTAACAATATGTGTCTGTTTGCACTTTCTTCAATTCTCTTTGTGGAGTCTCAACCTGAGGAATGTTTGTTGCTGATTTTTCAGGATATGCCACCACAAAGCCTGAATCTTCAAGCTCGACAGGTGTTCTTCGCTCCGGCTCATTAACAAATTCATAACTATCACCAGCATGCTCAGAAGAATCCCTGTCTTCAAATAATAGCTCCTCGTGTGTTAACTGAGATGATATTTCATCTTGCAAAAGCTCTTCTTGTGTAATCACATCATAGTCCATTGACTCAGCGAGATCTTCATAAACAGCAGGGTGCTGCTCCTCTCTTTGCAAGTCTGGCTTCTCTGCTCGCTGAACACTAGGGGCACAGGAAAGATTTTCCTGAGTATATTGGTAATCTTCACTGTTTTCAACATGAGTCCTGACATACGGGACAAATTTTTCCATTTGAGGAACTGCTGCTATGTCATGTTCTTCCTGCTTGTTACCACTTTCTTGATATGCAGCTCCCTGACATTCCACTAGTTCACTTTGCATTTGATTACCTGATTGCTCTAGCAACTCCTCAGTTGTTTCTACAGGTACATTTTCTTCTTCTCCTTGTTCAGTGTTATCAGTTCTTGCACCTGAAAGAACTACTCTGCTTCCAAAAGGAATGGCATGCATTGGTTTACAAATTGTTTGTTGAATGTCACTGTCAACTTGGAATTGCTTTCTCTCCACAACACCCCTTTCTGGCAGAACCTCAGTTCTCACAGGCTGAACATCACCAGGCTCCTGCTGGTGTTTGTCCTCTGAAATCTGAACTGAAATTCCTCCACTAAACGACTCATCCTCTGGCATCTGATCCTTTTGGGGCCCTATGGCCTTACTTGGAATTTCATCTTTAAGAATGTATTTTTCAAAATATATTCCTGTTCCATCATCTGTGTCTGAATTTCTACTGGGGAAAGACACATTAGAATTACCACTTTCCTCATCAGAGGGAGTCTCATCCTTTGTCTTTTCTCCTACTGCTTCTGCATAGAGGTCTTTGTATAAAAATGACAAGGCAGGTGGCTCCTCTAGAAGCTCTGGATTAACTGCAGCAACAGTGGTAGGGAACAACAGAGATCGTTCTAGCACTCCTTCTTCTGAATCAAAAAGTGGGGTCCCTGGTGACTTCCGTTCATCATCTACATTTGTAACCTTTTTACTGCTAGTATCAACTGATTTCTGCAGAGGTAAAGGATTTGGAGCATTTACACAGGACTGCACTTCGCTTTCTCCTTTCACAGTTCCGTAAAAGACTTCATCTAAATCCTCAAGTAAGGAAAACTCCTCTTCCAAAGTGTCTGCCTCAGTGCTTTCTTTAAAAGGTGTAGCTTCCTCCATAGGTTCATTGGGATCTTCTGTCACAGGAAACAATGAACTTGGTCTTTCAAAATGTGGCTTAACTGGGGATTTGTCATCAATCAACGTATATTTTTCAAAATAATCCATATCAGTCATACCATTATTAGCATCCAACACTGCATTATTTTGGTTTTGTGGCAACATGGAATTTTCTTGTGTTTCTCCAGTTTCCTCAACGTCATCATTTTTGACCAATTCCTTTAGTCCAGGGCTTGCAGGCTTTCCCATCACTGAGCTTTCTGAAAATCTTGTGGTTGTTCCTGAAGCTAGGTCTCCATGGCCATCATCAGTTAATTTCCTTTTAAATGAAGGAGTTGTTTCCAAGTATTCTAGTTTATCCGGCATGTGTTTACTTTCTTCTTGATCAACAGAAGAAATATGTGTAGGAGCATGAATATTGAGTATTTCATAACCCTCTGAAATTATATTAAATAGATCCTTTTCTTCAAGAGTCTCTGGAGCATTCTGACTGTATTCGACGGTACTCGCATCCATTTCTTTCTCTTCTCCTCTCAGGTTATGTTCAGGCACTTCAGATGCTTTGTATACCTCCAGATGTTGCATTGTTTCCGTTTTTGTAGGGTTTCCAGTGCTAGTTTCAGGCTTTGGAACTTTGTCTGGACCTTGATTATCTCCTACCAGAGATGGTAAATCATACTTTTGCATTTTGTGACTAGTGCCCAGGGACACTCTGTGTGAAATATCACTTGACACTGTATCAGAAACTCTAAAAATCTGTTCTTTGTTCTTTGTAGCACCATGAACTGTAGGTTCTGTGCAACTTGTGGCTGGTAATTCTTTTGAACCAAAATTAGAAGTTTCATTTGGATAAAGTTGCCTGTCTACTTCTGAAGCTCTTATTGGACTAATTGAGCAAGCTTTCACCTCTTCTGCGAGCCATCTAGCTAGCCCAAAAGATGGATTATCTTGACTATGCTTTTCATCAGAACTAGAGCTAACAGACTTGATCTCTGCTGAAGAATAATTCTGAGTTTTTTCTGTCACATTTTCATAAACAAGACCGGATGAAACAGCTCCCAGATGCTCTGAGGATGCATCCTTTTGATCTGCAAAATATCGTTGTGTTTCACGTCTACCCTCTCCCACAGTATAAATGCCAGAAACTATGGTGGATTTCTTTCCAGCTATGCCTTCTACGTCAGATAAAGATGATGGAATATTTTGTTTCTCTTTATCATTAGTGAAAGACACTGATACTGACTTTTCAGGCAATGTATGAAAAGGTACAAATGAATCTGACAACATGGCTTGCTGTTCTGCTACAGTAGTCACCTTTGACTCTGTGGTCATTGACCTTGGCACTGCCTGCACATTAGACTGAACTTCTTGCTTACCCTGCTCGGTAGTGAATTTGGGGGGACTTCTTAGCTGCTCTGATGACAAATATTTTGTGCCCAAGAAATGATCTTGAGATTCTTGCTCAGCTTGGCTTTCTGTGTGCGTTACAGAGACACTCCCCAACTGCATTGTCTTCAAGCTTGCCGGTTTAGGTGAATAGAGCTGATTTTTTTGCAATTCTTTTTCATTATGTGGTGGAATTACATATTTACACTCTGAATGTGCAGACTGGGGAATAAGTGGCTGTATGCTTTGCTTTTCTTGTTCAGAAAGGGACCGTGTGGGAACCAAATACTCAGAGGCTGGTTTTGAATAAGGTGGAATTTCTTGCTCACACGTTTCATCAGAATAAAATGGAACTGAAGGTTCAGACTCCAGTTCTGATGGTACAGTTAAATAATCTTTACTTTCTAGCATTTCTGCTTTATCTGTAGAACCTGGTAAATTTAACTGTTCAGATTCTAATTGCGTAGCTGTGTAGAAGTAATGTGGAGTCTGTTCTCTCTTTGTTTCAGGTAAAACTGTATGTTCAGACTCCGGCTGTGCAGCCACAGGCAAATGTAAATCATTTTTTGCATTCTCTGCTTCTTGTCTCGCAAAGAAGAAACCTGATTCAGGCTGGGTATTTTCTGACTGCTCTGTTTTACAGCGGTTGTAAGATAAATCTAAGTGCTTGGCAGACAAATTTCCAGTTACAGGTGAAGACTTTGGACTTCCTTCTGGTTTTGCTTCAGAGACAGAATGTAAAACGCTCAAAGGTACAGTCACTGTTTGTTCAGGAAAAGATGAATATTGTTGAATTTTTTGGCTCTCTGCTTCCCCAGTAGAAAAGGATAAATCTTGTTCAGTTTTCATCTGAACAGTTAGAGACGAAGCAGCCACAGTGTTCCGGTTCTCCGAATGTCCTCCTCTCAGTGGGGCCATTTCATGCTTTTCTGCTTTGTCAGTTGGACTTAATAAATATGATTTTTCCAAGTCTGGTTGTGCAGTTCCATGCTCCTCGGTCCTGCCAAAGGTATATGATACAGGTGTTTCTGGTTGCTCTGTTTCAACAACAGAATACTGCAAATTAATGAATTACCCAATCCCTCTGCTCCATTTCACTTGTGAAATATGATGTCTCTGGATGCTCCAGCTGAGCAGTCTGTGGCTGCTCTGCTTTGCCATAGGAGTACAATAAATCTGCTGATTTCATTCCATGACTCTCTGCTTTGCCAAGAGAAGAGGACAAATCTGGATTATTTGATTTTGGTTGTTCTGGTTGCAACTGCTCTGCTTCCCCTGTGGAATATGAAAAATCAGAAGGCAAGAACCCTGTTTGTGCAGTTTCCTGTGTTTTTCTTTTGCCAAGAAAATGTGACAAGCCTGATTGCATTAAGTCTAATTGTGAAACTGGTTTCTGCATTTCTTCATCAAGGGAATGCAAAAATCCAGTCTGGGCCATTCCCTTTTCCTCTAGTTTGCTAAAGGCCTCCAAAACCTCTGGCTGTTGGAGCACTTCTTGGGAAGGTTGTAAGTGTTCTGATTTGCCAGCTGAATCTGATAAGTCCATTTGTTCAACCTCTAGTTGTTCAATTTCCTGGTGCTCTTGTTGACCAGTAGAATGTGGCACAACTGGATAGTTAGATTTCTGATATGTAGATTCCTCTGTTTCTCTAGGTGGGTAAGACAGCTGTCGCAACTCTGGCAATACCATTTCTTGTTCTCTTTTGCCAGAAGAATACAATGAACCTGTACGTTCCAGTTCACTTTGCACATACTTTAAATCCTGTTGCCCCAGATCCATTTGTGTGGCTTCTTGTGACAGTGTTTTGCAAATGGAATATGATAAACTGGGAGATTCCCGCTCTGGGTGCTCAACCACTGGTTGTGCTGTTCCTTGTTGTTCTGTTTTGCCAGTGAAATGCAGAAAGCCCCGATGCTCTGCTTCCACTTGAAAAGTTTGTGGTTGCTCTGTCTTCCCAGGGCAAGATGACAAATCTGGTTGTCCTGACCCAAGTTGTGTGCTTTCTTGTTGCCGCATTTTACGAGTGGAATATGATAAATCTGAATGCTCCAACTCTTGTTTTTCCATTTCTTGTTGCTCTTTTTTGCCAGAGAAGACTGGGAATTCCACTTCCAGTGGAGCCTTATTTGGCTGCTCTGCTGTGCTATGTGAGCTTGAAAACACTGGCTGATCCAATTTCAGTGATACTGTGTCCTCTCCGTGTAATGTATAGGTTCCCCCCTTATACTTGACCTCCCATTGTCCACTTCGTTTTTGTTCACTAACAGAAGTGGACAAATAAAGATGTGGTACTCTGCCCACGGCATCTGAGATGTCTAGATGTTCAGACTCCAGTGGGGCAGCCCATGATGGCTTTGTTTTGTCAAAAGAATGCAACAAATCATGTTCTTTCAACTCTGGCTCTGTTGTTTTATGAGGTTCTGCCGTGTCAACAGAGAATGACAAGTCTGCATATTCTGATTTTGCTTGGGAACTTTGCAGCTCTTCTGTTTTCTCTGTTGAGCACTGCAGCTCAGGGCGTTCCGCCTGCAATCCTGTACCTTCCCATAGTTCTTCTTTAATGAGAGATGTCAAAAAATCACCTGGCTGCTCCTGCTCTGGTTGAATATTATCTTGCTGCTGTACTATGCCAGTGGAATGCAATAAATCTGGATACTCCAAATCCACTCCAGCAATTTGAGGTTGCTGTGCTTCACCAGTTGAATACAATGAATCCATTACTTCTGCTCCTGATTGTGTGATTTCATGGTGTTCTAATCTCCCAGCAGATAGATCTGAATGGTTTGATTTTACATGTTCAGTTTCTTGTTCTGCTTCACTAACAGAATAAGATAACTGTGAATGTCCCAATTCTGACTGTCGTTTCTCACCTTGTGCAGCTTTTTTGAAAGAATGCAGGAAGCCTGTCTGCTCATCTTGAGCAGTTTGTGCTCGCTCTATTTTTCCTGGACAAGAGGATAGATCTGGTTTTCCTACCAACAGTTGTGTAGTTTCTTGTGTTTGTGTTTTATCAATGGAATATGATAAATCAGGATGCTTTGGCTCTGGTGTTTCCATTTCTCTTTTCTCTGTTTTTCCACTAAGAGATGATGCATCTGGAGCTCCTAGTTTCTCTTCTGCAGCTTGTGGATGCTCTGCTCTGCTGACAGACTGTCCCAAGGCAGTGCTTTCCATCCCTCGCTGCCCCACTTTGTGAGCTGGGGTTGACAAGTCTGCGTGGCCCAGCTCCAGCTGGGCAGGTGGGAGTTGCTCTATTTTATCATGTCCGTAGAATGACCCCAGCTGGGTTGCTGCCAGCACTTGATCAAGAGAACTTGCTAAACCAGAGTGTTCAGGTTTTGGCTGTGCATCTTGCAGTCCTCCTGCTTTGAAAACAGAATAAGGCAAGTCAGGATGTCTCTGCCCTGGTTCTGCCATTTGTTTTTCTTCTTTTTCTTCTGCTGTCCCCATAGAATGGGGAATTTCCATTTCTGTTTGAACTGTTTTCTGTTCTGCTTTTCCAAAATGGTAAGTTTCCTCAGTTTCTTGTTGTACTCTTTGTGGCGCCTCTGCATTGTCCAAAGGATATATCGCATCAGCGTGTTCTGTCCCTGCTGGAGCCATTTCATCATCTGGCCTGTCAACTGAAAATGACAAATCTGGCTGTTCCAAGTTCTCCTGGGCATGTTTTAATTGCCCTGTTTTACCAGGAGAATATGGTAACTTTCCTAGCTCTAACTTCTCTTTTGTGGTTTGCTGCTCCTTTTCTCTGCTAACAGAATTTTTTCTATGTTTCTGATCCAACACTACTATTTCTTGTTGGTTTGTCTCATCAGTGGAATGTGACAAATCAGGATGCTTCAGTTCCCATGTTGCAATTTCTGGCTCATTTGCTTTGCCAAGGGAATATGTCAAATCTGGATATCTTGACTCTATTTGTGCAATTGATGGAGAAGCTCTTTTTCTGGCCACTTTAGGCAATTCTTGATGTTTAGGCTCAAACTCTTGAGTTGCTTGTTCTCTGACTTTACCAAAGGAAAATGACAAATCTGGGTATTTTGAATCCAATTGTGAAATTTCTTGCTGGTTTCTTTGGCCATCAGAACATGACAAATTTGTGTATTTAGGTTCCACTTCCATACTTTGACTTTGTGCTACTTCACCCAGGGTACCTGGTGAATCCAAATGCTCTGACTCTTGCTGTGGTTCTCCCATGAAGTATGAGAGCTCTGAATGTCCTGTCTCCTCCTCTGCAATGTTGCCTGGTTTTGCCTCATCACTGTGACTTGAAAAATTTGGATGTTCCATCACCAGTGGTGCAGTTTCTTGTTGCTTAAAACTAAATGGTAAGGTTGGATGTTTCATCTTTTTTTGTTGTTCACATTCATGAAAGGAATATGAGAAATCTGGATATTCTGAACTCATTTCCATCTCCAGTGGAGCTTCTTTTCCACCAGAAGATGGCAAAACTGTTTGCTCCAGCTCCAGAGGTATATCTTGTTGCTCAGTAAAACGCGAGAGAAACGGTTGCTCTGATTTGTGTTGTGTCATTTCCTCCTGCTTTTCTGTACTTACACAAAATATCTCATCTGGATATGCTGGTTCTGTTTGCATTTCTTCTTGCATTTTTTCACCAAAAGAGTATGGCAAAGATGGATTTTCTAGCTCCAGCTGAGCTCTCTCTTGCTTTGCCAAATTAACTTGGTCTGTGACCAGTGGCTCTTCTTTCTCCCAGGTTTCTGACAAATTTGAGTTTTCCATTTCCATTTGCATAGCTTTCTCTTGGACTGTTTCCTGCTGTTCCAGCTCTCTTTGTACTGTATCTTGTTGTTCCATTCTGCCAAAAGAATATGATATATCTGTCTGGGCCACATCCAGTGGTGATGTTTCCTGTTTCCGACTATCAGCAGAGGAACAGGAGGGAAGTGACTCCTCCTGCTCCACCTTTGCCATTTCCCAGTGCTTTGCCCTATCAACTGAATGTGAGGGCTCCAAAGGTTGTGACTTCACTCCCTGTTGCATTACGCCTTCAGTGGTAAATGAGAAATCCCTATTTTCTGAAGCTAGTTGTACATTTTCATGCTGCTCTTCTTCATGAATGAAACATGATGGTTCCAGACCTTCTAAGTCTTTTTGTACAGCTTCTTGTGCTGTTTCTCTCTGGGAATATGGTGAATCTGCTTGTTCCAAATTTGGTTGCAATATTTCCTGTTGTTCTATTTTGCCAGCAGAATATGACGCCTTTGGCTCTTCCACCCTCAGCTGTGAGCTTTTACGTTGCTGTCTTCTTCCAGTATGTTCTGACTGCAATAGAGCAGTTTCTCCTTGCATTCCCTTGGCACAGGAATACAGCTTACCTCTACATTGTGAATCCTGCTGTACAGGCTGCAGCTGCTCTACTTTTTCATCAAAATGTGACATAAGAGAACTATCCAAATCTGCTTGTGCCAATTCTTCCTGGTTTGCTTTATTTGTGGGATATGGCAAATCTGAATGCGCTATTTCCAGATACTCAGTTTGCTGTGTCTCAGCTCTTCTGGTGGAATCAACTATACCTTGATCTACAAACTGGAGTTCTGTTGTGTTTTCTTTCTCTGCTTCTGCCATCAAATGTGATGAATCTGAAGGCACCAGTGCAAGCTGTGCTGTTTCTTCTTGCTCTGATTCCTCAGGAGAATAAGACTCTGGCTGTTCCAGTTCAAAAGGAACAGATTTTTGTTCTTCTGTTTCTTCCCTGGAAAACAAAATCGTCTGATGTTCCATTTCCAGCTGTGCATTTTCCAATTCCTCCACTTCTTCCCTGGATAAAGAAAAGTCTGGATGACCCATCTCCAGCTGTTCACTCTCTGATTCCATCATTTCTTCTCTGGAATATGTGAAATCTGGGTGCTCCATCTGCAGCTGTACACTTTCTGATTCTCCAGTTTCGTTGCTGGAATATGGGAAATCGGGATGTTCTATCTCCAGCTGTGTGTGTTCTGATTCCTCTATTTCTTCCCTGGAAAAAGAAAAGTCTGGGTACTCCATCTCCTGCTGTGCACTCTCTGATTCTTCTGTTTCTTCCATGGAATAAGAGAGATCTGGCTGCTCTATCTCCAGCTGGGCACTCTCCAGTTCCTCTGTTTCCTCCTTGGAGTATGAAAAATCCAGATGCTCTTTCTCCACTTGGGCCCTCTCTGATTCCACTGTTTCTTTCATGGAAAAAAGTAATTCTGGGTATTCTGTCTCCAATTCTGCACTCTCTGATTCCTCTGTTTCTTCCTTGGAATATGAGAAATCTGGATGCTTGGTCTCCAGCTGTGTACTCTCCAATTCCTCCATTTCTTCCCTCGCATGTGAAAAATCTGGATGTTTGGCCTCCAGTTGTGCATTTTCTGGTTCCTCCATTTCTTCCCTGGAAAAAGAAAAGTCTGGATGCTCCATCTCTACCTGTGCATCTTCTAATTCCTCCACTTCTTCCTTGGAAAAAGAAAAGTCCAGATGCTCTGTCTCCATCTGTGTTCTCTCTGATTCCCCAATTTTGTTGCTGGAATATGAGAAGTCTGGATGCTTCACCTCCATTTGTTCACTCTCTGCTTCTTTGGTTTGTTCAATGGAAAAATCAGGGTGTTCGGAATCTAGTGCTTTATTTACAGCTGAAGTTTTCTGATTTTTTTCTGTTTCTTTGTGAATAGGATATGAAATGCCAAAATATTTAGAATCTATCTTTTCAGGAATAGGTGGATTTAGCTGAGTTCCTTCCTCCTCTGTTTCCTGAAGGGATGAGGAAAAGTCTTGTTTTGATTTTGCTTGCTTCGCTAAGTGAACACTTTGGGTTTCTGGTGATAGGGTCTTTTGATCCCTTTTTTTTTTAGCAGAATACAAGAGACCTGAAGACTCAGTTTCTGACAGTGCAGTTGTTGATGAGCGGCACTCAGTTTCTTGCTTCTCTGCTTCTTCTACAGAATGTGGTAAAAGCATATGTTCAGACTCAGATTGTGCAGTTTCTAATGACTGAGGAACAACGTCTTCCTGTCTTATTTCAGATAGAGTGGAATATTTGGATTTGGCTGGTGGAGAGCTAGGTAAGTAAGACTGAACTCCTGACTTCTGAGCTTCCCTCTCAGGATGCTCTGACATGGATGCTGCAGGCAACATAGGTTGGGTACTTTGTCTGTCTAATTCATTAACAAAATCTGCTGAAACAGACTGTGGTGCAGCATTGGGCTGAATTTCGTCCTCTTTTAGTTCAGTCACATAATCTGATCCTGTCAGCAGGGATTTGTCTGGTTTCTTGTTTGTATTTTCAGCTGAGGGAAGCTGCACTTGTTTCTCTGATTTATCATTAGGCTCCAATGAAATGGAGGCTCTTTGGTCTGTTATTAATGTTTTGGCTACAGGTGAGTAGCTTTGCTGCTTCCTAGTTTCTTCAGGAGGGCAGGACTTCAGTGGATGTACTGATGCCTGATCTGGAGCCTCCAGAAGAGGTTGTCTGTCTTTTATTTCTTCATCTTGAAGAGTCGTTTCTGCACCAAAGCTTGAAAATCTGCCTGGTTTATCTTTAATTTTAGTGGGTTTAATATTTTCATACGAAACATCCTCTTTATTAGCAAGCTGTTTTTCAGGAAGTGTTGTTGGTGAAGAATAGCTTTGAGTTGCTTGTGCTGTGGATTGTTGTCTTTGCTTCCTTCTTCTCTCTGAGGGTGTTTCAAGATTTCTACTGAAGCCTCTCTGGAAAGGTTTTGGGTGTGTTCCTTCAGAAAGTGAACTGAACTTCTGCAATCTTTCTTTTACTGATGTTTCAAGGAAATGTTCAGAATCTCCTGAAACTGAGCTACTTCTCTGGATTCTGGTTTTCTCCCCTGTTTCAGGGACTGGCTCAGTCCCTCCAAAAATTGAGTTGAACAGCTGGATTCTAGCTTGTACTGGTCCTCCAAGGATCGGCCCCACTTTTCTCAGTCTGCTCTCTCTAAATATTGATCTTATTGGAGCACGTTTTACTGGCTCTTCTGCAATGTTCTCTAGATCTTCTTTGTCACCCAACATTTCCTCATCTGTGTCTTGTGCTTCTACCTGTTCAACGTTCAACACAGAGGCCTGCACATCTTGTAGAACAGCTCTTGGTTCTTGTCTCTGCATTCCAGAAGAGTCACGTTTTTTAGTGCCCTGGCCTCGCTTCAGGCTTGTAGCCATTGGCATCCTATTTGAAGATTTGCGCTTCCTTTTCCGTATTATCTTACCTTCATCCATAATAAAGATTACTTTTCCTGGAGGAGAACCCACTGGTGAACTTTCCATACTGTAAAGATCAGAAGTTGTACTAGTTTCTGAGGCCCAGGGAGTTGAACATCTGCTCGAACTAGTTTCCCACGTTATCCCACTGTCTTCACTTTGAACTGTTATCATAGAAAAGGAAGGGTTAGTCATGATGTACTGCAGCTTGGGTTTCACATCTTCATTTTGGATAAGATCTTTTAAACTAAAAATAAAAGAACAAAAGAAAAGAAAAGCTGTAAAAACACACAACAAATTAAAGTACTGCAGTAAAATCTAAACTTCTGCATTAAAGCAAAAATCATAGAATGGCCTAGGCTGGGAGGGACCTTAGAGATCATTTAATCCAACCTCTCTGTCATGGGCAGGGACGCCTCTCAATTAGATCAGGCAACACATGGGGACCGAACGGGAATCAAATCCGCCTTCTTAGTGTTATCAGCACCATGCTCAGCTGACTGAGCTAATACTGTGTGTGCAGAGATTTTGAAACAGAAGCATAAGCAAAGTCATATTCCAGATAAATTCCTGTAAAGCCACGTGTTGCAAGGTTGGGTCAATGAAAGAGAGGTGTTTGAATGCTGGAAAAACAGTCTTTGATCCGACCTTGTTTTTCCAGTGTGAGATTGAGCTCATTCTGGAGCTATCCTCCAGTGCATGGTTATCTCACGGTATAATTTAAACCTTGCATTAAAGACTTATGAGATACTGTCAGTGTTTTAATAGCACCCATACTTGCTTTGCCCAAGTGTAAATGATTATACAATGCTCAAAGGAGTAGGGAATCTATCTGCTGTTTTGTTACAGTCTTCCCACACGTTCCATCCTCTAAAACCTTCTACATATTTAACAAAGTAATTTAGGACACATTCAACAATAAAAGTATACTGAGCCCTCCTCAAATGAAATAAAAATGTTTTATAAAGCTAACTTTTAATCTTATGACGTGTAATCAAATACATTGTCATATGCTGCAATCAAATCTCTCAGTTAAAAAAAAGAAAAAAGGCTGGAGAAATCTTTTCTGTGAAGCTTCAGAAAAAAACCCAACAAAACAATATTAGAAATAAGAGTGTAAAGAATAACAAAAGCAAGTAACAGATTTTTATTTATTTTTTTTAGAAAAAGGTATTTTCATGGATACAGTAGTTATTTCAAAAAATCCCATAGAAATGGTAATCAAAACACTAAACCACAGTATTTCTTGACTAGACAGTAGTTAATTCAGGTAAATTGTATTTGTAGCTGACAGAAAGAAAAGATGAGTATCTGTTGGCAAGGGAAGAGGCTTCAGTAGAGTAAAGTAAAATATAAAGGTTTGAAGAAGATTCAAAGCAAATGACTGTTATGTCAACTTTGCTGCTAGCTTTTCCTTTGCCAGTTTCATGGCTTGGCATTAAGATGATTTGGGCATAGCTAAACAAGAAAAAGAAAGAAAAAGAAAAAGAAAAAAAAAGAAAGAGAAAGAGAAAGAGAAAGAGAAAGAGAAAGAGAAAGAGAAAGAGAAAGAGAAAGAGAAAGAGAAAGAGAAAGAGAAAGAGAAAGAGAAAGAGAAAGAGAAAGAGAAAGAGAAAGAAAGAGAAAGAGAAAGAAAGGAAAAGGAAAAGGAAAAGAGAAAAGAGAAAAGAGAAAAGAGAAAAGAGAAAAGAGAAAAGAGAAAAGAGAAAAGAGAAAAGAGAAAAGAGAAAAGAGAAAAGAGAAAAGAGAAAAGAGAAAAGAGAAAAGAGAAAAGAGAAAAGAGAAAAGAGAAAAGAGAAAAGAGAAAAGAGAAAAGATCAATAGTACTAAGGAAGTTTTCATGTCTTATTTGAGTCCACAGTAAGAGCTTTTTCTTACATTTTTCAGCTTCTAAATCACTCTTATATATTTTTAAACCTATTTTTCTGCACTCCCTGGTGTTATTAAATAAAATTCCATGCAGAGCAGAGCAGCACTCCCACTTCAGCTGGTATTAGTGAATGAGAATGGGCTGTCCTTGCCCTGCTATGCAAAAAGCTTAAATTATTCACATCATTGTCATGTTTCCAAAGTTGTAATCGCGGTCCATATTCCTTCGAAGTGCTTTATATTTTTAAGACCAGAATGAAAGACGCAGAAATCAAGCATTTTCTTCCAATATACTTCCAAATGCTGCCCTAGTTTTGTATACAATTTGTATGCTGCACAGCAGTAGCTAAAAGGCCCTTCCCTACTCAGAGGAAGTGTCTGCCTTTGCAAAAAGTTGTTTGCAGTGTTTCAGCTCCATAAATGCAGATACGAAGCCACTGACACTCAGGGACAAAAGCCAGTGCTGCCATTTTTCCATTTCACACCCAATGCTGTTGGCATGTGTGCTTTCAGTTTGTTGTTTCCCTGCTAGGACGTTGACTCAAATTTATAATTTGTGAAGACACTGACAACTGCTTCCTGTCCTAATAGCTCAAAACCAGATTTTTCTTACCACCTCTTTCTGCTTCTCACAGCCCTCTGCTTGTCTCTATGACCTCCATGCTGTGTCCACAGTGATTTCAGAGATTTCTAGACCTGACCAGCACACTGGGCACACGTGTATCATACTGGAGAAGAGCTTTGACGTCCCCAGCTGCCAAAGCAATTTTGTTCAGACCTGATGAGTGAGGTCTGTCCACCTGTGCTACCCTACCACTCTTGCAGAGAAGCACAGCCAGCCCTTTGGCTTTCTAAAATCCTCCAGAGCCTGCCTTCATCCTCTTCACATGGGACCTTATCACTCCTGCTATCATCAAAATTTGTTGCTGTTTGCTCCATCACACCTCACAAGCTGAAAACAACCCAGGTAAAATGTCTGAGATGTCAAGCTATGGCAGCAGCCTGCACTGACAAGATCTTCCACTCCCTGAAGTCTCCTATTTGAGCCCGGCAGGCACAGCGCAGAGGAGGTGGAAACTGGCACTGGCCAGCTTGCCTTCACAGTTGAAGGAAGTACTTAATTTTTTTGTGTTTGTATTTTTGTTCTGTATATTCCTGTAGTCTCTGCCTTTACCACACATTCCCTTTCCTTCTATAGCAGTCAGTATGCTCAGCAAGGTCACTGCCTATAGCTCTGCATTTCGTAGGGCTATCAGTTGTTCATCTCCTTCTTCACGGTAAGAGAATTAGGAGAAACAGAGAGTCACTACTTTAAACCAGGCCTTTCACTTTTTAACCTACAGCTAACTTCCTTCTCTGTTTATGGTGCCTCTTTTGGGAACACAGTGGCCCATGCATATGTCCAAATTCAGACTAATAATTATTGAAAAGCTGCCTCAAAGCTGATTGTTACTAAGAGTAGCTGGGAGCCAGGACTGTGCCCTTCTCACACATTTTCTTCCATTTCTGACGCTTTCCCTGAGGAGGGACACAACCTGCTGTGGTGCTGGTGCCTTGCGGGCATCAGGTATGGTCACAGCCTCAGATGCTGCTTGAGAAATCACAACACCTCCAGGCTCCAGAGATCTGCCTTGTGCATTCAAGATTCGCCATCGCACAGGCTTTGGAGGGAGCAGAGTTATGGAACAAACACTTTGATCCGCATGGAAGACTTCCTTTAGACAGTCGCTTATTCACTTTAATGAGACTTAATGGGGAATTTCTTGAAGTCTGAGTATTATTTTAGATCTAATCTGCAACATAGGCCTTTATCAAGGACTGAACACTCTCTAAAGGGCAAAACACAGCATGTCCAGTGGCAGCTGCTGGCAGGGGCTGGGATGTGCGGTGGGGTTACAAGGGGCTGAGATGTGCGGTGGGGTTACACCGCCCCCTGCCGCAGCACTGCCACCACGATATTTCACCCTGCTCAGCTGCTGCCGGTGCCTTTTCACTCAAGCCTCTGGACCACCATAATTGAAAAAGCTCACATGAGGCAACAGAAAGTCCCCACTTCCTGACACGCTCACCTTTCCAGCGCATGTGCCTGCAGCCAAACAGCCCTGCCAGAGCCTTCCACACCAGCCCAAGGCAGGCACTGCCTCGTCTTGGAAACTAAAATCAAAGACTTTTCCCTATGTCTTTCTCTGATGTGAAGACAGTATGCCAAACTTTTCCTTGTGAAGACAAATGCCCAGCACTCTCCTTCCCACTTCTTTCCTACTAACCGATTTCCTGTCATTCCACTCCTCCACTCTCCTGGATGCTGCAGCATCCCTGCCATGGCAGGCAGTCCGCTTCTCTGTTGTGCTTTCACTTTCATCTGTTTCACCAGTCACTCTAAGCTAGACTTGGCTCTAAAGCATCCACATCAGTGATCTTCGCATGGAAGGACTGCTTCATTTCTAAATCAGTAAATAAATAAATAAATTCCAGAACTCTTTGTCTTCATTTACTCTAAGACCAGTGGTCTTAGGTTACCACTAAGTGAACAGATAAAATGAGCCCCATGCCCCTTTCAGGCAAACCAGCTACCTGGAAACGTGTAACTTGGCTGTAGGGCTATTTCTATGTAAGCACTGCATGCAGACACATCCAGAAACCTTCCCACAGCAAAAGGAAATCAGCCAGGAATGGTCCAAGAGACAGAACTGTGACAGAGAAGCTCACCCATCAGGCAGTTGTTAGAGACACAGATATTCCAGTGGGTATGTAAACCAGTTAACCAGTAAATTACTTTCCCAGAGCTAGACTTAATTCTCACTAATACCAACACAAAAATAAAAAACTATAAACTTCATGCTCATGCTTGCCTTAAAACACATAATAGGTGCTTTCAAACTATTTTCTTTGTTTTAGATGATCAACTCTACATGGAGCTAGAAGCAAAAAGCATCTGCCACGATCTATCTATCTCAGACAGTAGAACACCCAAAGGCAAGAAAATATTGCATGAACCCTCTGAAGATGAGTGGGCTATTTAGGCCGACAGGGATGCCTTAACCCATCCTTATAATAGGATCTATGATGCATGTTAGTTTCATTACTTGCATAAAAACCTGTGTTAGGAAACCAAATTATTTTAAGATTACATTAAAAAGGGTAACGAAGTATGGAACCCAAAGTTCTCTGCTTTTTATGCGCATGCATTATGCTTTTGGGGCAAGGCATAAGCTCTGCTGCAGCTTTTGGGATTTTGTTACCCGTGGCTCCTGCAGAGGGGACTAGTATGGAAGCAGAGTGGATCGGTCAGGGCTCAGGGGTTGGTGCCCTGCAGGAGCACAATGACCCTTCTGTTACCTTCACACAGGCACTTGCTGACCTTGGGCCAGCCATCTTGCTGGAATAACTCTCTAACAAAGTAGGTGTCAGGATATTTAGTGCTCTTAAAAGGTGGAAATGAGGAATTTCCCACTGACTGCAATGCTGCATGACCAGGTGCCGTTAAACTGCATGCAGAGGCGGAAGACAAAAGCAGCAGAGAGCTGAGGGCTGATAAAAATAAATACGATGGCAGGGTCCAGGACAGGCTGTCTTCAGCCAAGTTTGCATATTGCTTACACCCCCTCCAAGCAATGTTTGTAAAGCATACACAGACACACCCCCACTCCCCAAAAAATCTGTTCTGCAACAGGGGCTTGGAAACCTGTTTGTCAACAAGTAGTTAGCTTACAGGCTGGGTAAGTATGTACCAGGGGCTCAGCCTCGCTGTTCTGGCTTAGCCAGCACCTCCCAGGAGTTCTGTCCAGGCACTCAGCACAGGAGAAGCCCTTGACCTCCACCATCGTGCTGACATTTGCAGCAACAAAATTTAAGTAAGTAAAGAGTCAGTTTTAGTTAACTTTAGTATTCCATTGCCGCGCACTTGGTGCAATATATCTGTGCCAAGCTCAAAATTTTACATCTCCTTTAACCTATCTAATCAAATGGATTTAAATGTACTCAGTTACCACTGAACACAGCTGTTACAAATCTCTCCAGTAGGCTCTGACCTCTTTTATTAGTGAGATGGTTAAGGATAGAGATAAACTCTGCAATGCTTAATATAACTGAGAGGTAAAGAGAACGGTTGCTGTGATTTAATTAGCTGGTACGATGCAATGCCAAAGTTTGTGTTGCAGAGGCTGCCAGTCAGGATCAAGACCCAGCTGTGAGGAGCTGCCACCCGGCACCTGTGGAAAAGCCATCCTCCCAGCACAAGCAGTAAATAACTGTCAGGCTACGCAGACTTCCCTCCCTTTAAGGGAAAAGTCACCCATTCCTACTTAAGTTTTTTAATTTGAATTTTATTGTTAGCCATTTAATTGCAGATTCCATTAAAAAATATCCAGTCTCAGTTGTGTTTCACCTGTCTGCAAGGGAGTAGCTCCACTCCACTGATTTAGGCAGATTTTTTTGTAGGATGACACCCATATGCAAGTGCTGTTTATTGACTCGTAACCCTTCCCTCTGCCAGCATGGGACTGAAAACTCAACATCTCTCTCTGGAGAAAAGCAGCGTTACCCACTGAGGGTGCCCCACTCCTCCCAATTGTTTTTTTTGAAAAATAACACCATGCCCTCTGCAAGGAGGTTTTCCTGCAGTCCTGGGTCACATTTCCATACTTGGCTTTTGCCCCCACAGCACTCGGGGTGAGTTAGGCTGCACAGAACATGCCTTCGCTCGCCCCTGCCTCTTCTGCCATTTTTTTTTCTCCAAGCGACCCCCAGGCATGTCAGGAAGTAACTTTGAACTGTAATACACCCAGCGTGGTTTACAAGCACAGGCTGGCCCCAGAGCACTGAGGTTTTAGGAATGACACAAATTTCTTAAAAATAATGGTTCCTGGAAATACTTTAAACTGTCGATGTTTTTGGTTCTTTCTGCAGGGTCCACCCAAGCACAATAGGCTTTACTCAAGACAATAAAGAAATCTTGCGACCCAATCTGTGCTGGGGAGCTCTCAGGCCTCATGGCCTCTTTTCGAAACAAGCAGTGCTGGCACAGTGGAGCAGCCTGTCCCCAGGGGTCAGGTTGCAGACGCCTCCGCGTCCTGTGCGGGACCAGGGCCATGCGTTGGGCAACGGGCCACTGCCTCGCTCGTAATTTTCCTGGTGGCGTATTAGGACAACAAACTGTTTCTGTGCCAGAGTTATTAAGAAAAATAATAAACAAACGAACAAATAATTGAAGGGATAAAATACTCCGCATTCCAACTCAAAAATCAGCCACACAAACTGCAACAAGTGGAGGTGAGCAGGTACAACATTTTTTTCCTTTTTGGGGGGAAGAAGAGACTGAAAAGGGAGTGAAAAGCGGGAATGAAGAAAGGGCTGTAAAAAGGAATAGACTTCCATGCGCCATTATAATCTTTGACCATTTTTTCCCTGACAAGCAAAGCTGCAAAGCATTTAAGATCGATATGTGACAAAGAGTCAGCCAGAGAGGGAGGAGCAGAGGGAGATGCCACTTGAGCTGGGATGGCAGAGGATCTTTAAATAGAACAGCTTTCAGGGAACCTGAGGCAGGCACTTACTGCAACAGAACTTAATTACAGCCCTACCCGTCCAAAAAACACCCTATTAACAGCCCTCCCCTCTTTTTTATGGGGCACTAAAGGGGGAAAAGCACTCAAACCACAATCCAATCCCAATCCTACCTGCCCCAGGGCTTGTGCTTGGGGCTGGCTGGAGCTGCCAGCTCCCCCACAAAAGCTGTGAGTCTCTGGGGAGGCCGTACCTGTTAGTCAGCTCCTCTGCTTCCTCCTGATCCACAGCTGCCACCTCCTCTTCCTCCTCCTCCTCTTCTTCTTCTTCCTCCTCCTCTTCCTCCTCCTCCTCTTCTTCCTCATCCTCTACAAAGGATGAGGTCTCAGAAGCCCTGTCACCCTCGGCGCCGCGGCACCCCTCCATGCCCTTCCCAGCTCAGGCCCTCGCCGGTGATTTTTACCCCCGACCCTGTCCTCCCCAGGGTTGCCTGAAGCAACTGTCATCCCCAGCAGCTCTCGCTTCTCCTGACTCAGGGCAGTCTTTAAATAGAAGGCAGTGAAGTTACAGCACAGGGTGGCTGCTGGTCCTACCCCCAAGTCCTAGCACCAACCAGGAGCCAGGACACGTGGCAAAACCCGCTGGCGATCTCTCCGGCTGCTGGCAGCCTGCACCCCCCTGCTGCTGCTGAGGAGGTGTCAGCAGCAGAGGGGACAGGGCTGGGGACCTGATTGACCCCCCCAAGCCACCTCTACAGAATTTGGGGCTGACAGGACAGAGGAAGCGGAAGGAGGTCTCTGACGGCCCCAAGAAAGGGTCTGTTCCGTATGTTCAAAAGTAAGTTCAACCCTTGAGCACAGCTGAAGCTCCTCAAATTTGAGCTAGAGAGATCAAATACAGCTACTAGGGGAGACTCGAGACATGTGCCTTTAATAATAATACCATACTGTAACAGGTATCAGATGCACTGTAGTTAATATAGGCAACATATCTGAACCCCAAAGTTTGTTGATGTGTTAAATCACAGGACTCTTCTAATATCCTTTTTAAGTAGACTTGAATCAATTTTAGTTTAAAGCAAAGACAAAGTACATTACCATGTAAAGGTTTAGGTCAAGCCATGTTTACCCTTTATTATTCCGCATTTCACACAAAATGCAGTGCTTTTTACAGACAAAAATGGAAGTATTTCCAATGTGTACCATCCGAAATATTGACTTTTTAAAAAACTTCCACATTATTTCAAGACACTATACACAGTGTAAGTCTAATTCCTTTTCTTTTTATTTTTTTCTCAAATAAATAGTTGTTTATAAATCAGTCAGTGAACTCTTCCTTTTAAGTGCAGGTATTTCTGAGTGCAAGCTTTCTCTGCGATGCTAAATTAAAATTCTACTACCAGACTCACTTGAATTATTTTCTAGACAGTACGTACAGATAAAACCTGTTTCCTCTCTTGACCTAGCCATGGAGGTACACAATTTACAGGGTCAGAACACAATTTCTTGAAAAGGTGTACTTGGAACATATACTAACTTGAACTCCACGTTTTATCATGAGCACAGAGACAGTGTGTAAACAGCACTATAAAATGTAAGGTAGAGAACTTCACATTCTTAACAGATGGAAAACAAGAGCATTCCAATCTTCTACAAATGCTTATACATAAAGCATACCTATATTGCACAAGTTTTGATTCAGTCTTCAGCACAGCAAAGCGAAGGCTTTTATCAGAACCTCTTCAAATTACTTCTAGACCTAGTACCCTCCCTTCTGTACTTCTCACAACTTAATTTGACCTGTACGTTGATCGTGCTCTTCCTGCAAGCATCGTAGTCCGTCGAATCAATAAGGGAAAGATTTATATCAAAATACGTAAGGATTAGAGACAACAAGAAAATTGTAACAAAACCACCACAAAATGTAAGTGAGAGAACCCAGAGCAAACAGAGTCCATTAAATCAAGAGTGACATTCTCTGATGGACTTAAATTTAACACCAAATATACTACGACTTGTGTCCAGTGACCCATATTCAAGTAAAGCATTGGTTCCAAATAGGCATTTAGGACAGTATTCACAAATGCTAACTTCAGGTTATCTACAAATCATCTCACATCCTTTTATCATGACTGTCAATCTCTCCCAACTATTTGAGTCTTAAAATTGTTTTACACTGAATTCTTTTAAAGAGATTTCTTAAAAATAATCTCTCATGCTGTCAGAAAACTTGCAGGTAAAAGGAGTACACTTACACAATCACATTTTAGGAGAACCAAGAATAAGTGAGCTAGATGAGAAACCTCCAAGTTTCATAGGATACAGCCCATGCTAGTTCTGGTCCTCTCATAAACCTCTGAGCCTGCAAATTAAAAGCACTACTACAGGACTAAAGAGAGTTCCTAAAATTCTAGACAAGACACTAGTTGTTTCTGACTTTATATAAGGTGAGAAATGACAGGCAAGCTCAGTGCCAAAATGACTAGTCAAAACTAGTTCTAGAGCTGAACTAAACCTTTTTTTATTTCATGGTAGTGAGAAGCCTCAGAGAAGTCAGCATCTTGAACACACGTTGAAATGTCGGTCAGCCATGAAAAACACCTTTTACCAAAGGTCTCCCAGGGAAAAAAAAACTATTCCTGCTAGGGTGTACACTAAAGTATAGGTGTGTGAAATTTTTCATTTTAAAGTTGAGGAAAAATAGCTCCACGCCAACATTAAGATTTATGATAGCCATCAGTGGATTTCTTGCTCTGGATACCTGCCCAGAGTAGATGAAAATCCAGGTCATTAAAACTCTGAACAACTTCAGACTATGTAGAACTGAATCCAAAGTTGAAGTTCAGCTCCTACTCACTCTTCCTAAACCATTTATTTTGTGGTATTTTACCTGAAGTTGCAACCAATCATTTAACAAATATCATTATGTTCACTTACAGAAAGTGATGTTGCTCGTTTGCCTCGACAGGAGAATAATACAACGTGAAACTTGTTTTCCAGACCTCTCAGATTACTTTTTAGTATGTGAGAGCACTGCCACTTTCTGTGCTCTTGCCAGGTTACTCACTAGCTTCCTTCGCTACAAGCTATACTACCTTGCACACTGTTTAGCTAACACAGTGAATTACTGGGTAGTTTTCTGTAGTTAGAGAGAATGAGACAAACGGGCTTGTTCCCAAACAACTGGAGAAAAATACCATCCCAACTTGGTATTTCTGATTATAAATTAGCTTAGAAGAAGTGTGCAAGCTTGAGGAAAAAACACAGCTGGACTCTTTAGAAGGACACAGGCCATTTGGTTACAAGATCTTAGCTTGTATCAGAAAGATCAGAGTTGGTGGGACAATTTTTACAGTTGCACAGAGCTACCACCCTTTTTTTTAACCGTATATTTAAAAACAGTTAGGAAGCAGCAGTTTCAAACATAAAGCAGTAATTTGTGAGGTATATTGGCACAGTAGGTGACGCAATCCAAACTCATAACATATATAGACACGCACCTCACTTGAAATACCTTTCTGCCAAGTATGAACATGTGTGTCCCTTCTTAGTTATCCTACATGTGAAAGATTTGAATTTTGTAGACAGATTGACCAGCAGCACTTTTTCCTTTTTTAAAAAAAACCCCAGCTCTTCCCTCTCCTCAAAATCCACCTAGTGCTTGTAAACCATCTTTGAACCCAGACATCATCCTGTACTAAAAATACATGCTTTGATTTTATATAAAGCAGGTTAAAGTGAATATTTCACTGAGACCAATTCTACCATCTTATAAAGATGAAGGGCAGTGAGGGGGACCATACACATGGAGGGAGAATGTTTAGTCAGATTAAAACTGTTTAAATTGCAGAAGGAAGCTGTTTTAAGAAGCAAGCCAAAATCTTACATGGTCTAGATCATGAGGAAGTGTGCAGTAAAGTAACCTCACAGCAGGCAAATCATTTACAGCTCTCAGAACTTCAAAACTCTAGAACTTCAAGTAAATTAGAACTTAAAAGTTGCACGAGAAGAAATTATTTTATATAGTAATTAGTTTTCATTCTTGTCAGGGACAGTAATAGACAAAACTTTTACCTGTACACAGATGCAATGCAGAACACCCATACAGAAGCTTCATTTTCAACAGGGGCTTTACCCTTACAGGGCATTTCCTTTTCTACTTAATTATAGGAAGTATCTGAAATATGCAGTACAAAACAACATACACTGGAAAAATAAGCTGTATTTTCCATATATAAACTTTATTCCACTTTCTTTTTAAGAAGACAAAATATGAATTTGAGCTCAATGATAAGTACAGTTTTAACAATGAATTGGTCTTCAATAACAAACACGAGCCAAAAATTGTGCTGCAAGAGGTCCCAAAGAAGGTCCACAACAGCTTTTTAGGAAGATTTTCAAGATTATTCATTTAAACTCAATTTACAGTAGCTGACCAATTTACAAATATTTACAGAAAAATAAGACCAGCTTATTGTAGCAGTGGTAGGGGTGTGAGGTGTTTTGGTTTTGTTCTGGGTTTTTCTGTTTTGTTTTTAAAGCAGATATCACTACTATTTCAAATATGCTAAAGAAAGTACTGAAAAGTAGCTTGTCTAGTCTGTGTGAATAGGAAGCATTTACGCATACGGATTCATCCTTTTTTATTTCAACTTTTTTGCAGTAGAACTGCTACTTGAAAATTCCAGTTTATATTACAGTTCTTGACATCCAGAACATTATCGACCATAATCTAGCTTAAATTTTAAAAATTGTTTCTTATTGTTCCATGTAAAATGGGAATAAAACTGGAAAGGGCCCAGTTGAGCAAAATTGCTCACAGCAATTAAGAAGATGTGAAGCACAGGCTGTCCATTAAGAAGGAGGCATTGTGTGCAATGCCTTAAGGACACAGTCAGACTCATACACTGTTTAGAACTCTGAATACCTTTGTTTCATGGTTAAATGTGTCTGAATTAATGACTACACAGATTATGGAAACAACAAGTCAGTATACTCCCACACTTGCCTTAAAATGACTTATTCTTGTGGTTTGCTGTTTGAGTTTCTTCTAGAATTTCCAGAAAATGTAACTTTGAATTAACAGCTGTATCAACAAATATCAATAATAAAATATGCAATCTTTCTTATAAACATTTCCTTAACAAAAGTTTACAGAGAAAAACATCATAAAAAACCACAGGGTAACTGCTTTTTATTTTTATATTGTTCTTTAATTCAGCAGAATCCGGTCAGAAGAAACTAAACCAAATTGGTTATCTTTTATATATGGCTGCTCTTAGAGGTAATATATAGTTCAGGTCCTTCTTGTCTCGTAATACCTGCCAAGACTGGGGAAAAAAATACAAGGTTTTAAAAGCCTGAATAATCTTTGCCATGCTTAAATAATGTTGTAAACAGTAAGTCTCAGATCCAGAAAAATAAGGT